TGCATCAGGTGCTTCCTAAGCTGGCGTCACCTGCCTGGCCCGATGCCTCCTCAGGTGTTCATTGTTAATTAATGCCACCTCCTGATGGCAGTTTTTTTCTGGGAAGAGGAGAAAAGGGAGGGAGCCGTCCCCAAGTGAAGGGTGCAGCGAAGACTCCACGAATAGTTTCAACTAAGGACTGTCCCACGAAGGAACTTCGGGACGAGCAAAGAACAGTGAACTTCCGGTGTGACCCGGATGCACCCATTTCCAGAGAGCAGGAAGCACAGAGAAGGCCCGTGGGTCGCCCCCAGGGTACCTTCCATCCTGCAGGGCTCGCTGCCTGCTCTGTAAGTTCTGATAAAGACATAGGACCTTCATCACCAGGGGCACCCCGTGGGCTGTTGCTGTGGCGTCTGTCCCCCATTTCTTACACACATGGAGTGTGATCGTTACTAATGGAGCGTGTCCAGGTTCTTGGCATTTTGAACAAAGAATTGGACAAAAGGCACAAAGCAAGGAATGCAAGAAGCACCTAAAGCCGAGATTTACTGAAAGTGGAAAGTACACTCCACAAAGAGGGGAGGGGCTAAGCCTAGGGAAGATCCCCTTTACAGAATTTCCTGGGGTTTAACTACCCTCTAGAGGTTTCCCATTGGTTACCTGTTGTACACCCTATGTAAATGCAGTAGTGGCCTGCAAGCAGTCTGATTGGTTGTGAAAAGCAACCAATTAGAGGCTGACTTGAAGTTACAAAGGTTATACCCTATGCAAGCATCTGGTTGTGGAAAGCAACCAACTAGAGACTAAAGTGAAGTTACAAAGTTACAGTTGATGCAAATGACGACTTGCCCTGCCCGGCTCCTATAATCCCAGCACTCTGGGAGGCCGAGAGGCGTGGATCACCTGAGGTCACAAGTTCCAGACAAGCCTGACCAATATGGTGAAACCCCAGCTCTACTAAAAATACAAAAAATTAGCCGGTGTGGTGACAGTTGCCTGTAATCTCAGCTACTCGGGAGGCTGAGGCAGGAGAATCGTTTGAATCTGGGAGGCGGAGGTTGCAGTGATCTGAGATAGCACCATTGCACTCCAGCCTGGGCAACAGAGCCAGACTCTGTCTCAAAAAAAAAAAAAAAAAAAAAAAAAGGCCGGGCGTAGTGGTTCACGTTTGTAATCCCAGCACTTTGGGAGGCCCAGGTGGGTGGATAACCTGAGGTCAGGAGTTCCAAATCAGCCTGGCCAACACGGCGAAACCCCATCTCTACTAAAAATACAAAAATTAGTTGGGCGTGGTGGCGGGCACCTGTAATCCCACGTACTCATGAGACTGAACAGCAGGAGAATCGCTTGAACCCGGGAGGCCGAGGTTGCAGTGAGCCCAGAACGTGTTGCTGCACTCCAACCTGGGCGATAGAGCGAGACTCCATCTTTAAAAAAAAGAAAAAAAGGCCGGGTACGGTGGCTCACGCCTGTAATCCCAGCACTTTGGGAGGCAGAGGCGAGCAGATCACGAAGTCGGGAGATCAAGAACATCCTGGCTAACACGGTGAAACTCCATCTCTACTAAAAAATACAAAAAATTTGCCGGGCGTGGTGGGGGGCGCCTCTAGTCCCAGCTACTCCGGAGGCCGAGGCAGGAGAACGGCATGAACCCGGGAGGTGGAGCTTGCAGTGAGCCGAGATCGCGCCACTGCACTCCAGGCTGGGCGACAGAGCGAGACTCCGTCTCAGAAAAAGAAAACGAAAAGACTTGGTCGCAGTCAGTCTGATTGGTTGCGGGAAGCAACCATCAGAGGCTGAAGTGAAGTTACAAAGTTACGCTCCTGTGCAAATGTCTGATTGGTTGCAGGAAGCAACCAATCAGAGATACTTTCAATTTTCCGTCTGGGACGCAGCAAAAGTGGGAGTGGTGGTTTGCAAACTGAGTAGCCTCCCATCCTTTTGTTTGTTACTTAAGTGTGGAAAGTTAGGGTTTTCCTGTTGATTTAGTTCTGGAAGTCAGCATGAAAATTGGCCTTAGCTTCCCTGCCTCCAGACCTTATTCTCCGGCCTCATGATGACTTGATAGCAGATTTATGGCGATTAAAGATGAGAAGAAATGGTAACAGCAGTAGGCAGAAAATTGCCCTAGTTTCATGTTCTGACTGTGATAGTGGCTACATGACCTTGACAAATCACTGCATTTGTAAAATGAGAACACATCTCTGTTTCCTTTCGCTGGGGAATTAAAGGAAAAGTGAGATTATGAAGAAATACCATGAACTTCCAGAAATAATGAAAGTGTATGCTAAGTGAATGTCTAATTATAGAAACATATAATGCCTTTGTTGTCCATTTTGCCCTGAGCCACATTTTAATGCAAATTTACTTAGACTTGGGGGAGAAGGAGAGGGAAAGAAAACCAAACAAATTCACTTAGTCTTATCCAAGAGAAAAAAGAATGGGACCTACCTAGGCTGTTAGACCAAATAATTTCTGTAATTTACCTATTCACTTGCTTGATAACTGCTGTTACTTCCGTCTCTAGTCAGGGAACCTTGTTTTGGGAATCAGATTTGCTTCCGTTTGTTCAAATATATGGGGATAATTGTTTTGTTTTTTTGTTTTGTTTCTTTTTTAGAGTCTCGCTTTGTTGTTCAGGTTGGAGTGCTGTGGCGCGATTTTGGCTCACTGAGACCTCCACCTGCAGGACTCAGGTGATTCTCGTGCCTCAGCCTCCTGAGTGGCTGGGATTACAGACGGTACGCCACCATGCCTCGCTGATTTTTGTATTTTTAGTAGAGACAGGGTTTCGCCGCATTGCCCAGGATGGTCTGGAACTCCTGGCTTCATGTAATCCACCTGCTACGACCTCCCAAAATGCTGGGATTACAGGCATGAGCCACTGTGCCTGGCCAAGTGTCAATTATTTTTTGACTGTTGTTTGTATTTATTTATTTATTTATTTATTTATTTATTTATTTATTTATTTTTGAGATGGAGTCTCACTTTCGTCTAGCCTGGAGTGCAGCGGTGCAATCTTGGCTCACTGCAACCTCTGCCTCCTGGGCTCAAGCAATGCTCCTGCCTCAGCCTCCCAAGTAGCTGGGATTACAGGTGCGTGCCACCATGCCCGGCTATTTTGAATTTTTAGTAGAGACAGGGTTTCACCATGTTGGCCATGCTGGTCTCGAACTCCTGACCTCAAGAGATCCACCTGTCTCGGCCTCCCAAAGTGCTGGGATTACAGGTGTGAGCCACCACGCCCAGTCGATTATGGTTTTTATTATAAAGCATAACTTCCTAAGTGTGTATGCTTCATTACTTGTTGATGGGTAATCTGGGCTAGCAATTAATTCACATGGTAACAGATGGTAAAGCTAGATCACAGTCTTTAATAATAGGGAAATAGAGCATCCTCTTTAATAATAAGGAAAAGATTTACTGACATTTTTAGGCATAACAGTTTTCTGCTGACAGCTCCTCAATAGCTTGTCCATGTTCTCCAGAATCCTGGGGCTTTCCTTAAGGAATACTCGGGTGTTGTCAGTAAATTAATTTATGTTTTTACAGTTACTATTCTTGTTTCCAGTGTTTAATTTTTAAATTTTTCAGTTATCCTTCCATATTAAGTTTATTTAAATAATTATTCAATACCTCCCTAAAAGTAGAATTAATTCAACTAAATTAAAAGGGACAGTTTTTAATAGGCACCTAATTTGCATGCTATTTACAGAAAACCTTTTTAGTATTTCAGTTTCAGAAATTTGCTTTAGATTTTGCCATCTTAGTATGTCTTTATGTGGTGTATTGTTCTGGTTTTATTTTGGTAAAATATACATAATTTTTTTTTTTGTTTTTTATTTTTGTGACAAGGTCTCACTCTGTCACTGAGGCTCAAATGAGGTGGGATGATCTCGGCTCACTGCAACCTCTGCCTCCTAGGTTCAAGTGATTCCCCTGTCTCAGACTCCTGAGTAGCTGGGATTACAGGTGCCCACCACCCTGCCTGGCTAATTTTTGTATTTTTAGTAGAGACGGGGTTTTGCCGTGTTGCCCAGGCTAATCCCGAATTCCTGACCTCAGGTAATCCACCTGCCTCGGCCTCCCAAAGAGCTGGGATTGCAGACATGATCCACCACAACTGGCCAGTATGTTTTTTTATGGTGTATTGTCTTGGTTTTATTTTGGTAAAATATACATAAGATAACGTTTACACTACTAACTGGTTTTTTTGTGTGTTTTGGTTTTTGTTTTTGAGACGGAGTTTTGCTCTTGTCACCCAGGCTGGAGTGCAATGGTGCGATCTCTGCTAACTGCAGCCTCCGCCTCCTGGGTTCAAGCAATTCTCCTGCCTCAGCCTCCGAGTAGCTCGGATTACAGGCGCCCGCCACCACACCCAGCTAATTTTTGTATTTTCAGTAGAGATGGGGTTTCGCCATGTTGGCCAGGCTGGTCTCAAACTCCTGACCTCAGGTGATCTGACTGCCTCAGCCTCCCAAAGTGCTGGGATGACAGGTGTGAGCCAACGTGCCTGGCCAGAATATGCTGTATTATAAAGAATCTTACATGTTACTTGATGCCTGTGATCTGCTTTCTTAGAAGAGGAACTCTCCACTCAGCCTCAGTTCACTGCACCCACTCTTTTCTGTGTCAGGATGTTCAGGGGAGAAGAGAGCTTGGCACCTCTTTCCTGTGTTGAGTTGTGGTTGCCTGTCACTGGGTTTTAAAGTGCCTTGCCTCCTCTTCCTGTTACTTGGGAGAAATTTCACTGATTCTGGGTGCTACCTGGATTTATTTGGGGTGTGATATTGACCCAATTTTCTGGAAATAACAATACATAGAAAGTTAGGGGGTGGATTCTTTATCTTATGAGGGTGTGGGACAAGTCAAATACTTAGTTTCTGAACCTTATTTTTTTTTTTCCAGTGCAAGAAAACTGCAAATTAGGCCACCCATGAGGGGCCCTCACAGCTTTGGCTGTGGGTTTAGGACACCGATTTTCTACCACTCACTTTCTTCTTACTTCTCTTGCACAGGGATCATGGCCCAAGTTGCAATGTCCACCCTACCCGTTGAAGATGAGGAGTCCTCGGAGAGCAGGATGGTGGTGACATTCCTCATGTCAGCTCTCGAGTCCATGGTGAGGCCTTGTGTTCCATTATTCCATAGTTGGGTAGGCCTGTGCTGTAGATAAGGTTGATTTGTTTTTGTGGAAGATAGAATTTTATGGTGTTTAGTTTTAATGAGTAGTTTTTCTTTTTTTTTAATTTTGAGACAGAGTCTGACTCTGTCGCTCAGGCAAGAGAGCGGTTGCAAGATCTCAGCTCCCTGCAACCTTTGCCTCCTGGGTTCACATGATTCTCCTGCCTCAGCCTACCGAGTAGCTGGGATTACAGGCACCTGCCACCGCACCCAGCTACGTTTTGTATTTTTAGTAAAGATGGAGTTTCGCCATCTTGGCCAGGCCAGTTGGCGTGGTCCACCCGCCTCAGCTTCCCAAAGTGCTGGGATTATAGGCATGAGCCACCACCCCGACCAATGAATAGTTTTTCTTCTTGAATAATAGTTACGGATTTAAGCCTTTCACATCACGTTTTATTATTTATTTGTTTATTTGAGACAGAATTTTGCTCTTGTTGCCCAGGCTGGGGTGCAATGGCACGATATCGGCTCCCTGCAACCTCCGCCCCCTGGCTTCAAGCAGTTCTTATGCCTCAGCCTCCCAAGTAGCTAGGATTACAGGCGCGTGCCACCATGCCCAGCTAATTTTTTGTATTTTTAGTAGGGACGAGGTTTCACTATGTTGGTCATGCGGGTCTCGAACTCCCGACCTCAGGTGATCTACCCGCCTTGGCCTCCCAAAGGGCTGGGATTACAGGCGTAAGCCACCGCACCCGGCCGAAATCACATTTTTATTACCATGCTTCAGAATCTTCTTAACTTACCTAAATGTTTAATTTTCCTATTTAATCTCAAATTTTTTTCTGCCATCACCTTAGGCATTTGTTTTGCAAGTGTTAGCTTTGAATTTATGTATAATATTAGCAATTACTCAGAGTGAGATAGTATACTAGAATATGGTGCTTGAGGTTTTTTGTTGTTGTTGTTAATGTTTGTTTTTTTTTTGATACGGAGTCTCACTCTGTTGCCAGGCTGGAATGCAGTGGCGTGATCTCAGCTCACTGCAACCTCCATTTCCTGGGTTCAAGCGATTCTCCTGCCTCAGCCTCCCAAGTAGCTTGGATTACAGGCGGCTGACTGCCACCACTGCCGGGTAATTTTTTGTATGTTTAGTAGAGACGGGGTTTCACCGTGTTGATCATGCTGGTCTCGAACTCCTGACCTCCGGTGATGCGCCCACCTCGGCCTCCCAAAGTGCTGGGATTACAGGCGTGAGCCACTGCGCCCCGCCTATGAATCTTATTAGGAAGCAAATTTCAGTAGATTTTGAGAATTCAGAGTATTTACTGTCAATGTGTTTTGTTTTTGTTTTTTTTTTTTTACTCTCATGTCTCTGTATCTATTTTGAGAAAGTCATTCAAGATGCACATAAGGCCAGGCGCGGTGGCTCATGCCTAATCCCAGCACTTTGGGAGCCCGAGGCGGTGGATTATCTGAGGTCATGAGTTCGAGACCAGCCTGGCCAACATGGTGAATCCCTGTCTCTACTAAAAATACAAAAAAATTAGCTGGGGTAGCAGCATGTACCTGTAGTCCCAGTAACTTGGAGGCTGAGACAGGAGAATTGCTTGAACCCATGAGGTGGAGGTTGCAGTGAGCCGAGATCACGCCACTGCACACCAGCCTGGGCATCAGAGCGGAACTCCGTCTCAAAAAAAAAAAAAAAAAAAAGCCCATAAATATTTTGTTCCCAGGTTATTATGGTGGTGTTATTTTTAGGTGGGATGATTGGAATCACCAACCTTTTAAATAATGTTATCAGTAAATGATCCAAGGTATATTCATTAAATAGAATACTATATACTCTATAACGTTTTTAAAGAATATTTAATCTTATAGAAATATACTTAGTCAAAGTCAGTAAATACTCTGCCCACCTAAAAGTGATTCTGGCTGTGTGTACACAGGGGAATACTTCTGGAGGTAGGGATTATGTAATGAATGCTGTAGTGTGGGTTTCAGACCCCTCCTCCTTTTGTACTGATGGCACTTATTGCCGCAGGTGCCATGACTGAGCCACCTTTCACAAGTTTCTACTCTTTCCTTGGGGAGGGCCACACCAGCTCCTAGCTCTGGATGCAGCTACATCAGTGTTCAGTGCTTCCGCTGTCCAGCCCTGCCTGCATCGCACCTCCCAAGAGCTGTAAGACAGTGACCCCCAGCAAGCCTGTGTAAACTCTGAGTCTGCTTCTCGGGGAATCTGATCTATAAGAGATTACAAGGGAATTCTGCTTTTTTTTCTTATAAATTCTGTGTTGTCTTTTGTTTAAAATCAGGCCAAAAACTATTTTGAAAGCAAAGTACCTTTAAAACATGTTGTTAGATTTTTTTAATTCATCGAGCAGAAACGGTGCCCTTAAATGTCTGCATGTAACATAATATTTGCTGTTTGTATTATAGTGTAAAGAATTGGCCAAGTCCAAAGCCGAAGTGGCCTGCATTGCAGTGTATGAAACAGACGTGTTTGTCGTCGGAACTGAAAGAGGACGTGCGTTTGTCAATACCAGAAAGGATTTTCAAAAAGATTTTGTAAAATATTGTAAGCATTGTATTTTTATCTTTTGCATTTCATTAATTTTAAGCCTAAATATTTATAGGTAAGACAAGTTATATTTTCTTTCTTTCTTTTTTTTTTTGAGATGGAGTTTCGTTCTTGTTGCCTAGGCTGGAGTGCAGTGGTGCAATCTCGGCTCACCACAACCCCTGCCTCGTGAGTTCAAGCGATTCTCCTGCCTCAGCCTCCCTAGTAGCTGGGATTACAGGCATGCACCAGCATGCCCAGCTAATTTTGTATTTTTAGTAGAAATGGGGTTTCTCCACGTTGGTCAGGCTGGTCTCGAACTCCCAACCTCAGGTGATCCGCCCACCTCAGCCTCCCAAAGTACAGGGATTATAGGCGTGAGCCACTGTGCCTGGCCAAGTTATATTTTCTTCTAAAGCAGGATGAGGTTTAAACTAGAAAAGATTTTCTGAAATGTTTATGGAGACATTTCAAAATGCTCCAAAGGAATCACTGAAATATGTCAGGATAGATACTGAAGAGTTAAGAAAAATGGTAATGTTTATTGTCCAGTGTTCCTTGCCTGGCTTTACTCTGGATTAATGAGATACATTAAGAGAGAAGGTAATGAAGATAGAGAAATTTTGAATAGATTAAAAGTTTTACTTAGGTAAGGAGTTACTTTCTTTTTTCTTTCTTTTTTTTTTTGAGACGGAGTTTCACTCTTATCGCCCAGGCTGGAGTGCAGTGGCGTGATCTCGGCTCACTGCAACCTCTACCTCCTGTGTTCAAGCAATTCTTCTATCTCAGCCTCCTGAGTAGCCGGGATTACAGGTGCCCACCACCATGCCCGGCTAATTTTTGTAATTTTAGTAGAGACAGAGTTTTGTCATGTTGGCCAAGTTGGTCTCGAACTCCTGACCTCAGGTGATCTGCTTGCCTTGGCCTCCCAAAGTGCTAGGATTTCAGGCATGAGCCACCACTCTTGGCCTTTTTTTTTTTTTTTTTTTTAGAGATGGGGTCTTGGTCTGTCACCAGGCTGGAGTGCAGTGGTGCGATCTCAGCTCACTGCAACCTCCACCTCCCATGTTCAAGCAATTCTTCTACTTCAGCCTCTGGAGTAGCTGGGATTACAGGTGCGCACCACCATACCTGGCTAATTTTTTGTATTTTTTAGTAGAGACAGGGTTTTGTCACGTTGATCAGGCTGGTCTTGAACTCCTGACTTCAGGTGATCTACCCATCTTGGCCTCTCAAAGTGCTGGGATTACAGGCTTGAGCCACCAAGCCCAGCCAGGAGTTCTTTTCTAGATAAAAATTTGGTGTGTTGAAAATCAGTTATTTACTGTGCAAATGAGTTTGTTTAAGCATATGCAAAATTAAACAGTTCTCCATTCCCTCAGTGGAATCACCTTATCACAGTCTTCAGTGAGTTTTGTAATTCTCATTTAGAGCAGTGGTGAGGTTACCTGACGTTGGAACACAGTGTTGAAATTTACTATAGGGTGTTAATACTCACAGCCTTTCACAGTATGACAATTTTCATATCTGTGTTTAACCTAACACTGTTTGTAGGTTTTATGTTAACTGATTGATACAGCATTTTCTTTTTTTTTTTGTTTTTGTTTTTGAGATGGAGTCTTGCTCTGTCGTCCAGGCTGGAGTGCAGTGGCGTGATCTCGGCTCACTGCATACTCCACCTCCCAGGTTCACGCCATTCTCCTGCCTCAGCCTCCCAAGTAGCTGGGACTACAGACACCCGCCACCATGCCTGGCTAATTTTTTATATTTTTATTAGAGACGGGGTTTCCACCGTGTTAGCCCAGATGGTCTTGATCTCCTGACCTCATGATCCACCTGCCTTGGCCTCCCAAAGTGCTGAGATTACAGGCGTGAGCCACTGTGCCCAGCCTGATACAGCATTTTCTTAAAAATATGGAAAGGGAACAAAAAAGCTAGGGTATCTATAGGCACATAATATATATAAGCATACCTCGGTTTTTTTTGCTGTTGTTTTTGTTTTTTTGAGATGGAGTTTTGCTCTTGTTGCCCAGGCTGGAGTGCAGTGGTGCGATCTCGGCTCACCGCAACCTCTGTCTCTTGGGTTCAAGTGATTTCCTGCCTCAGCCTCCTGAGTAGCTGGGATTACAGGCATGCTCCAGCACGCCCAGCTAATTTTGTATTTTTGGTAGAGACGGAGTTTCTCCTTGTTGGTCAGGCTGGTCTCGAACTCCCGATCTCAGGTGATCTGCCCGCCTTGGTCTCCCAAAGTGCTGGGATTACAGGGGTGAGCCACTGCGCCCGACTGGGCGTACATCATTTTTTTTTGTGCCTGGCAGATACTGCGGTTTGCATAAATTGAGTATTTGTGGCAACCTTTTGTCAAGTCTGTTGGTACTGTTTTTCTGGCAGCATGTACCCACTTCGTTCTCTATGTCACATTTTGTTAACTCTTGGCATAGCACTAACTAGTTCAGACTTTTTCATGACTATTGCTTCCGCTGTGGTGGATATTTTTTTTTTTTTTGAGACGGAGTCTCGCTCTGTCACCCAGGCTGGAGTGCAGTGGCCTGATCTCAGCTCACTGCAACCTCCGCCTCTTGGGTTCACGCCATCCTCCTGCCTCAGCCTCCGGAGTAGCGAGTAGCTGGGACTACAGGCGCCGGCCATCTCGCCCGGCTAATTTTTTGTATTTTTTAGTAGAGACGAGGTTTCACCGTGTTAGCCAGGATGTTCTCGATCTCCTGACCTCGTGATCCACCCGCCTCGGCCTCCCAAAGTGCTGGGATTACAGGCATGAGCCACCGCGCCCGGCCTTTTTTTTTTTTTTTTTTTTTTTTTTTTTTTGAGACGGAGGCTCGCTCTGTCACCTTGGCCAGACTGCAGTGGTGCGATCTCGGCTCACTGCAGTGTCTGCCTCCTTGGTTCAAGGTATTGAGATCAGTGATCTTCGATGTTAGTATTGTATTGGGAGTCCTCAAATGCACGCATATAAGATGGCAAACCTAATTGGTAAATATGTGTTCTGACTGCTTCACTAATCGCCTGGTTCCCCATCATTCCCTCTCCTCAAGCCTCCCTGGTCCCTGAGACACAATATTGAAATGAGGCCGGCCAGGGCGGTGGTAATCCCAGCACTTTGGGAGGCCGAGATGGGTGGACCACGAGGTCAAGAGATCGAGACCATCCTGGCCAACATGGTGAAACCCCGTCTCTACTAAAAATACAAAAATTAGCTGGGTGTGGTGGCGCGCACATGTAGTCTCAGCTATTTAGGAGGCAGGAGAGTCACTTGAACCTGGGAGGCGGAGGTTGCAGTAAACCAAGATTGTGCCACTGCACTCCAACCTGGGCGACAGAGCGAGATTCCATCTCAACAAAAAAAAGAAAGAAAAGAAAAAGAAATTAGGCCAATGAATAGCCCTATAGTGGCCTGTGAGTGTTCAAATGAAAGGAAGAGTTGCAGGCTGCTCACTTAATATCAAAAGCAGAAATGATGAAGCTTAGTGAGGAAGGCATGTCAGCAGGTGAGGTAGGCAGCTAGCTAGCCAGGTGGAGAATGTATAGGAAAAGTTCTCGAAGGAAATGAAAAGTGCTGCTCCAGTGAACACGCAAATGATAAAGCAAAACAGCTTATTGCTGACAGGAAGAAAGTTTGAATGGTCTGGATAGAAGATCAAACCATCCACAACATTCCCTTAAGCCACAGCGTAATCCAGAGCGAGGCCCTAACTCTCTTCAATTCTGTGAAGGCTGAGATGGGTGAGGAAGCTGCAGAAGAAAAGTTGGAAGCTAGCAGCGGTTGACTTATGCGGTTTAAGGAAGGACACAGTCGGCTGGGAGCGGTGGCTCGCGCCTGTAATCCCAGCACTTTGGGAGGCCAAGGCGGGTGGATCGCCTGAGCTCAGGAGTTCAAGACCACCCTAGGCACCCTGGTGAAACCCCGTCTCTTCTAAAATACAAAACATTAGCCAGGCCTGGTGGTGTGCACCTGTAGTCCCAGCTACTCTGGAGGCTGAGGTACAAGAATTGCTTGAGCTCAGGAGGCGGAGGTTGCAGTGAGCTGAGATCGCGCCATCGCATTCCAGCTTGGACTCTTGAGACTGTGTCTCAGAAAAAAAAAAGGAAAGACACAGTCTCTATAACATAAAAGTATAAAAGTGCAAGGTAAAGCAGCAAGTAGCTTGATGTAGAAACTGCAGCAAGTTCTTTAGAAGATCTAGCTGAGTTAATTCATGAAGATAGCTACACTCACAAAACAGATTTTCAGTGTAGACACAACAGCCTTATATTGGAAGATACTGTCTAGGACTTTGCTAGCTAGAGAGAAGTCCATTCCTGGCTTCAAAGCTTCAAAGGACAGACTGAATCCCTTGTGAGGGGCTAATGCTGCTGGTTACTTTGAAGCCATGCTCATTTACCATGCTGAAAATCCTGGAGTCCCGAGGAGTTACACTAAATCTGCTCTGCCTGTGTGTGCTCTCTTGATAGAACAATAAAGCCTGGATGACAGCATATCTCTTGATAGCATTGTTCACCGAATTTTTTTTTTTTTTTTGAGACGGAGTCTCGCTCTGTCGCCCAGGCTGGAGTGCAGTGGCCGGATCTCAGCTCACTGCAAGCTCCGCCTCCTGGGTTTACGCCATTCTCCTGCCTCAGCCTCCCGAGTAGCTGGGACTACAGGCGCCCGCCACCTCGCCCGGCTAGTTTTTTGTATTTTTTAGTAGAGACGGGGTTTCACCATGTTAGCCAGGATGGTCTCGATCTCCTGACCTCGTGATCCGCCCATCTCAGCCTCCCAAAGTGCTGGAATTACAGGCTTGAGCCACCGTGCCTGGCCTCACTGAATGTTTTAAGCCCACTTTTGAGACCTACTGCTCAGAAAAAAGATTGCTTTCAAAATATGACTGCTCATAATCACTCACAGAGTCCTGATAGAGGTGTATAAGGAGATGCATGCCATTTTTATTTATTTATTTATGTATTTTTTGAGACAGAGTTTCGCTCTTGTTGCCCAGGCTGGAGTGCCTGGCGTGATCTCAGCTCACTGCAACCTCCGCGAACATTGTTGAAATGATAACAAAGGATTTATAGTATATGGCAGGGTTTCGGAGGATTGACTCCAATTTTGAAACAAGTTCTACTGTGGGTAAAATGCTATCAAATAGCGTCATACTACAGAGAGATCTTTCATGAAAGCAAGAATCAATGTAACTTTTATATGCATTGGGAAACCAAAATATTTGTGTGACCTTACTTTATACTTGCGTTATTGTGGTGGTCTGGAATTGAACCTAACAATATCTCCCGCAGATGCCTGTATGCCACTCAGGTCTAAAGTTAAACTTCTGATGTCAGTTTAGATTAAATTGGGATACATTCAGCAAATTATTAGTGAATAAAAAGTTTTGTTAATTCACGAATTTTAATTCCCAATTGTATTTTTCATTTCTTTTAAAAACTATCCCCTGCCACTGTATTCCTCCCTCATCCCCCACCCCCATGCTATAATCTTCTGAGCTTTATGTTAGTAACCTATTTTTAAAATGTCAATATTATAATGTTGAGAAATGTTCAGGCATTGATTATGTTTCTGTGTTTCTTTATATTAATAATGCGGTTTTGATTGTGTGTGTATCAGCTGCCATCTGCCCCACCGATACCATAAGCCTGCCCGCAGCTGTGCTTATTCTCCCCTTCCCTGTCCTGCCTGGCTTACATGGTTCTCCACTGGTTAGAAGTAAGCATTAAGGGCGCTGTCCTCAGTTGCAAGCTGTGGTCACTGTCCATCAGTAGTCATACTTTGTTTTCATTGCTAATAATTTTTTTTTAAATTTTTTGTATTTGTATTTTTATTTTTGAAAAGGAATCTTGCTCTGTCATCCAGGCTGGAGTGCAGTGGCGTGATCTTGGCTCACTGCAACCTCTGCCTCCCAGGTTCAAGCGATTCTCCTGTCTTAGCCTCCCGAGTAGCTGGGATTACAGGCACGCAGAGCTAATTTTTGTATTTTTAGTAGTAGGGTTTTACCATGTTGGTCAGGCTGGTCTTGAAATCCTGACCTCAAGTGATCCACCCGCCTTGTCCTCCCATGGTGCTGGGATTACTGGCGTGAGCCACCATGACTGGTCTCATTGTTAATAATTTGATCCATGGAGAATGGTTTTTGTAATTCTCCTTTTTCTCTCTCTCTTTTATTTTTTAAATTCTTCTTTTTCTCTTTTTTTTGAGACAGAGTCTCACTATCGCCCAGGCTGGGGTGCAGTGGGGCGATCTTGGCTTATTGCAACTTGTACCTCCCAGGTTCAAGCAAGTCTCCTGCCTCAGCCTCCCAAGTAGCTGGGATTATAGATATGTGCCACTATACCTGGCTAATTTTTGTGTGTTTTGTTTGTTTGTTTGTTTGTTTGTTTAGTAGAGACGGGATTTCACCATGTTGGCCAGGCTGATCTTAAACTCCTGACCTCAGGTGATCCACCCTTCTTGTTCTCCCAAAGTGCTGGGATTACAGGCATGAACCACTGCATCCAGCCTAATTCTCAAGTACCTCTTACTTGTTTGTATAAAGTACTTTGCAGATAAAGAGCAATTACTGGCCTTCTGAACATAATCAATAGATTTAGGAGGCAATCACGGAAATTCTTCAGGGAATTCTGAGCCCTTTTCTGAGATTTAGAAAAGCGTTGTTCAGCAGAAAAAAGTGTCATGTGAGTTACTCACATAATTTAAAACTTTCTAGTTAGAACATTAAAGAAGAATAAAGAAAAACAAGTGAAAATCATTTTACTGGTAATACTTTAACTTATCTAAAATATTTCAAATGTAATCAATTTAAAAATTATTAATGGGCTGGGTGCAGTGGTTTATGCCTGTAATCCCAGCACTTTGGGAGGCAGAGGTGGGCGAATCATGAGGTCAGGAGATCGAGACTATCTGGCCAACATGGTGAAACCCCGTCTCCACTAAAAATAACAAAAATTAGCTAGGAGTGGTGGTGCACACCTGTAATCCCAGCTACTCGGGAGGCTGAGGCAGGAGAATCGCTTGAACCTGGGAGGCAGAGATTGCAGTGAGCTGAGATCGTGCCACTGCACGATCTGGTGCCTGGTGACAGAGCAAGACTCTGTTTCCAAAAAAAAAAAGAAAAAATTAATAGATTATTTGTCATACTTTTTTTGTACTAAGTCTTCAAAATCCATTGTGTATTGTACACTCATGAAACATCTGAATTTGGACCAGCCATGTTTCAAGTGCTACTTGTATCTATTTGTTATCCTGCTAGATTTTGTAAGCCTAGAATTTTTGTGTGTTGATAATCTTCTCATTTAAATTTGTAACCAATACAAATTTTCTTTTTAAAACTAGTACAAGGGTACTAGTATGTAGTATTTTTAGCTATAGCTACACTTATTTCAGAGATGGTCACCATTTCATATTACTTTCATTCATCTCATTTACGTATTTTAGATTTTTATTTGAAGAGTTCCCTTTTAAATCTCTGTCTCCCTGCCTTTTATTTTTTATTTTTTTGAGACGGAGTCTCGCTCTGTCACCAGGCTGGAGTGCAGTGGCGCAATCTTGGCTCACTGTACCCTCCACCTCCCGAATTCAAGCGATTCTCCTGCCTCAGCCTCCCAAGTAGCTGAGACTACAGGTGTGCGCCACCACGCCCAGCTAATTTTTGTATTTTTAGTAGAGACGGGGTTTCACCGTGTTGGCCAGGATGCTCTCGATCTCTTGACCTTGTGATCTGTCCACCTCGGCCTCCCAAAGTGCTGGGATTACAGGCGTGAGCCGCACCTGGCCTTTTTTTTTGGTTTTCTTTTTTTAAAAATTTATGAGACAGTCTCTCTCTGTCACCTTGGCTGGAGTGCAGAGGTATGTTCTTGGCCCGGTCATAGCTCACTGCAGCCTTAAACTTCTAGGCTCAAGCAATCACTTCAGCCCTCAAACAGCTAGGACTGCAGACACGCACCACTATACCTGGCTAGTTTCATTTTTTTGCAGAGATGGGTCCTTGTTATGTTGCCAAAGCTGGTCTTGAACTCCTGGGCTCAAGCAATCCTCCTGCTTCAGCCTCCCAAGGTAGTGGGATTACAGGCTTGAGCCCTTGGGCTTAGCCTCTTTTTTGCTTTTATAACAAATCACAAATGACTAATAAATGTTAAAGAATAGTTAAGAAATATTTTTTCCTGTTAGAATACATGTTAAAAATAGTTTTCCCTGTTAGAATACAGGAAAACGATTTTTACTAAAAAACAAATATTAAGGTAATGGATATGGATCTTTTTATTATTATTATTATTGTTTTTTACAGGTGTTGAAGAAGAAGAAAAAGCTGCAGAGATGCATAAAATGAAATCTACAACCCAGGCAAATCGAATGAGTGTAGATGCTGTAGAAATTGAAACACTCAGAAAAACAGTTGAGGACTATTTCTGCTTTTGCTATGGTAAAAACAATACTTAATTTTTCTAAAAGATATATTATATAATTGAGTTTTCTAAAGGGGAGATTAATTGATTTGAAAATTATATGGCACACATTTTCACTGATTGAATGGATTAGCAATAAATAACCTTACTTTCTTTTTTGTTTTTGTTTTTGTTTTGAGACGGAGTCTCACTCTGTCACCCAGGCTGGAGTGCAGTGGCGCGATCTCGGCTCACTGCAAGCTTCACCTCCCAGATTCACACCATTCTCCTGCCTCAGCCTCCTGAGTAGCTGATGCCCACCACCACACCTGACTAATTTTTTTTTTTTTTTGTATTTTTAATAGAGACGGGGTTTCACTGTTTAATAGAGACGGGGTTTCTCCTGACCTCATGATCCGCCTGCCTCGGCCTCCCAAAGTGCTGGGATTACAGGTGTGAGCCACCAGCGCCTGGCCCTAGCCACCACGCCCGGCCGTAGCCACCGTGCCCAGCCCTGCAATAACCTTACTTTCTTCCACTTCCATTTTGAAGGAACCCAGGAAGAAATGTCATCAGTAGAGCTGTTTCTTTCTTTCTTTCTTTTTTTGAGATGGAGTCTCGCTCTGTCACCCAGGCTGGAGTGCAATGGCACGATCTCGGCTCACTGCAAGCTCCGCCTCCCAGGTTCAAGTGATTCTCCTGCCTTAGCCCCCCAAGTAACTGGGATTACAGGTGTCCGGCACCATGCCCGGCTAATTTTTGTATTAAATTTTAGTAGAGATGGGGTTTCACCACATTGGCCAGTCTGGTCTTGAACTCCTGACCTCAGGTGATCCGCCCACCTTGGCCTCCCAAAGTGCTGGGATTACAGGCGTGAGCCACCATGCCCAGCCTAGCTGTTTCTTTCTAATATGCATGCTCATCTCTCCAATTCCCTGCAAAGCCACCTTTTGTTATTCTTGTCCCATCATAAAATGAGGCTCTTAACACGAAAACAGTCAAAGGAGGAGACTGAGGTTTTACTGTGGGGTCATAGGTGCAAATCAATTCTCTGGAATGGGATTTTCAGTATGTGTGAGGCTCACTGCCCAGTAGGTTGACAGTATATACTCATTTGTGAATGGGAAGCTTCTGTTTACCTGATAAGTTTTCAATGAGAATATTAGCTGAAATATTCCTGATATTTTATGGTAATGGTTGGATGTGCTGGGCTTCTATATTCTGAGGCCAAATTGTACCTGAGAATATGCCAGGAGGGGCCATCTTCAAGAAAGGCAATAGTGCAAGAAACCAGCCATTGCTCTATGTAGTTTTTAAAGTAAAATATTGTATCTACTTTTCATTTTGGCCCTTTGGATCAGTTTCAGGTTTAGACCTTCTGCTGATATGGGGAGCTAGAATGCTGTAGTATTAATTAATTTCGAAATCACATATTATAAGAAATCATGGATGTCCTTATTAAGCCACAATAAGCTAGCGATGATTTCGTTTTTTAATCTTACCATTGAATGATGTTCATCTGCTTTTCACCTCCCCCAGGGAAAGCTTTAGGCAAATCCACAGTGGTACCTGTACCATATGAGAAGATGCTGCGAGACCAGTCGGCTGTGGTAGTGCAGGGGCTTCCGGAAGGCGTTGCCTTTAAACACCCCGAGAACTATGATCTTGCAACCCTGAAATGGATTTTGGAGAACAAAGCAGGGATTTCATTCATCATTAAGAGGTGAAGTGCTTTCTCCCTTTGTAGCCATCATCAGTTGATTCATATAAATTTGAATATTCAGCTTATGTTAATAGAGTTTTAAAATTCATATTTAACACAGAAGTCATTTAAATGTATGTGCTACAATAATTTTGTGTATTCATATGGAGTTTTGTTTTGTTTTGTTTTAATGCAGACCTTTCTTAGAGCCAAAGAAGCATCTAGGTAAGTAAGAGATTCACTTCCTTGATAGCTGGCTGGCCTCCGTTTTGCTAGATTTTAATACACTTCAATGGTTTCTGTTTTATTTTCTTTGAGAATATGATGTCAGACATTTTTGGATGGGCTGTTTAGATGTTTATATAATCCACGAAAGGTTCATTGAGCTACAAAAGTGGAGACTTGTTTTTTTTGTTTTCTTTTTTTTGAGATGGAGTCTCGCTCTGTCGCCCAGGCTGGAGTGCAATGGCGCGATCTCGGCTCACTGCAACCTCCGCCTCCTGGGTTCAAGCAATTCTCTGCCTCAGCCTCCCGAGTAGCTGGGATTATAGGTGCTCGCCACCACACCTGGCTAATTTTTGTATTTTTAGTAGAGATGGGATTTCACCATCTTGACCAGGCTGGTTTTGAACTCCTGACCTCATGATCCACCCACCTCAGCCTCCAAAATTTCTGGGATTACAGGCGTGAGCCACTGTGCCCGGCTGTTTTTTTGTTTCCAGCTCTGCTGCTTGTTTGCTATAGAAGATCATATATCTGCCCTCACTTAGCAGAATTATGAGTAGGATTTAATTGACCTAATGTCATTGACTAGGCAAGGCATTGTTGGGCACAGCATTGGGTGGGGAGGGGATACACATCTGTGTATCAGCATTACAACTTTTGAGAGCTGAGAGTCTCACGGAAGAGAGAAAAGTCTGTAAGGTGAACATGGCAGGAGCATCACATCCCTACTGCAAGAATGGTTCTGAGAAAGGGCTGTGGATGTTACTGGAGGTTGGATTCCTTTATAGTTCAGGGAAGAGTTCATGAGGAAGAGAGCATTTCTGTGGGCCCTTGAAGAATGATGAGGATTTCAGCTTCCTTTAGGGAAGTCTAGCCATTTCATTTGAAGGGAAAACAGGATAAAGAGTGGTATCCTTTAGAGCCAGGTTTATTTGAGACTTTCAGAAGTAAATAACCAGTATCACTGGAATACTCTTAACCATGTAAGGATGAAAGGAAAAAATTATATATACATAAACATACACATTGTATTTTCTATTAACCTTTGTTTTATTCTCATTGTGGTGAAAAGATTAATTTTTTAGCAGATTTATTGAGGTATAATTGATATACCATAAAATTCACTTGTCTTATTTTATTATTATCTTTTTGAGACGGAGTCTTGCTCTGTCGCCAAGGCTGGAGTGCAGTGGTGTGATCTCGGCTCACTGCAGCCTCCGCCTCCCAGGTTCAAGTGATTTTCCTGCCTCAGCCTCCAGAGTAGCTGGGATTACAGGTGTGTGCCACCACGCCTGACTGATTTTTTTTGTATTTTTAGTAGAGATTGGGGTTTCACCATGTTAGCCAGGATAATCTCAAACTGCTGACCTCAAATGAGCCGCCTGCCCCGGCCTCCCAAAGTGCTGGGATTACAGGTGTGCGCCACTGCACCCAGCCAAATTCACCTATCTTAAGTATATAATTCACTAATAGTAGATTTACAGTGTTAAAATGTTTTTAAGGGTTTTTCACCCTTCATCACAGTCTAATTTTGGGATGTTTTCATCATGCCTATCTCTCTTATTTCATGAATGTTGTAGAAATGGAATACGTAGTATGTATCCTATTGAAATGAGCTTTTTACACTGAGCATCATTCACTCAAGGCTCATCGAGCTTGATGGGTGTATCCGTAGTTTCTTTTTATTGCTGAGCACTAATTATTCTATGACAGGAACATATACCGCCTATTGATCCAATCATCAGTTTATAGATATTTTGGTTGTTTCTACTTTTGGGTATTGGGAATAATGTTACAGTGAACATACTTGAGCAAGTTTTTGTCTGGACATATTCCTTGATATCTCTTGGATTTACATAGGAGTGCAATTACTAGGAATAGGGTAAATTTATGCTGAACTTTTTTTTTTTTTTTTTTTTAATGAGATGGAGTCTCGCTCTGTCACCAGGTTGGAGTGCAGTGGCACGATCTTGGTGGCTCACTGCAACCTCCGCCTGCTGGGTTCAAGAGATTCACCTGCCTCAGCCTCCCAAGTAGCTGGGATTACAGACACGTGCCACCATGCCCGGCTAATTTTTGTATTTTTAGTAGAGATGGGGTTTCACTATGTTGGCCAGGATAGTCTCAATCTCTTGACCTCATGATCAAGGGAGGCCTCCCAGAGTGCTGAGATTACAGGCATGAGCCATCGCACCCTGCTACACTGAACTTTGAAGAAACTGACAAGCTGTTTTCCAAGGTGGCTATACCATGTTATATTCTAGCAGCAGGATAGGAGGGTTACCCCCACATTTCTGCCAACTTCTTGATTTTAGCCATTGTAATAGGTGTGACGTGGTATCTCATTTTTGTTTGACTTTTTAAAATTTCTCTAGTGATTGTTGATGTTGTGTTATCTTTTACCTTCTTTTTTGAGACAGGGTCTCACTCTGTTGCCCAGGCTAGAGTGTAGTGGTGCCATCTCAGCTCAGTGCAGCCTCAACCTCCCAGGCTCAAGCAATCCTGCTGCCTGAGCTTCTCAGTAGCTAGGACTACAGGCGTGCACCACCATACCCAGCTCATTTCTGAACCTTTTTTGGTAGAGACAAGCTTTTGCGTGTTGGCCAGGCTGGTCTGGAACTCCTGAGCACAAGTGATCCACCTGTGTCGGCCTCCCAAAGTGCTGGGATTACAGGCTTGTGTTATCTTTCATTGTGCTTATTGGTCATCCATACATATTTTTTGGATAAATATCTATTTAGGTCCTTTTAGGTCCTTTTCCCATTTAAAAATTGGGTTTATTTGTCTTTTTATTATTGAGTCTTAAGAGTTATATAGTCTTGATATAAGTCCCTAATTGATGATTTGTTAAAATTTTTTTTTTTCTTTTTGCGATGGCGTCACTCTGTTATCCAGGCTAGAGTACAGGATTTGGGAATATTTTCTCCAATTCTAATAAATCTACATTATTCTTACTGTATAACTTGTCTTTTTCACCTGCTTGGTAGTATCTTTTGAGGCAGAAACGTTTTAAATTTTGATAAAAACCAGTTTATTCTTTTGTCACTTATGCTTTTTTTTTGTTGTTGTTGTTGTTTTTGAGACAGAGTCTCACTGTGTCACCCAGGCTGGAGTGCAGTGGCGTGATCTCAGCTCATTGCAACCTCCACCTCCTGGGTTCAAGCAGTTCTCCTGTCTCAGCCTCTTGAGTAGCTGGGACTACAGGTGCCCACCACCATGCCCGGATAGCTTTTGTATTTTTAGTGGAGATGGGGTGTCACCATATTGGTCAGGCTATTCTCAAACTCCAGACCTCAGGTGATCTGCCCACCTCGGTCTCCCAAAGTGCTGGGATTGCAGGCATGAGCCACTGCGCCCGGCCCTCACTTATGCTTTTGACTTCATATTTAAGAAACTATTGCATAACCCAAAGGCATGAAGATTTGACTTCTATGTTTTCTTCCGCAAGTCTTATAGCTTTGGCTCTTATATTTAGATCTATGGTTCATTTTGACGTCATTTTTGTATGTTGCACAAGGTAAGGGTGTAAATTCATCTTTTTGCACGTGGATATCCTTTGATTCCAGGACAATTTGCTGAAAAGACCGTCCTTTCCCTCGGGATATCCTCGTCATCTTTGTTGAAAGTCATTTGACCCTATGTTTATTTCTGGACTTTCTGTGTAGGAGATCATGTTGTGTGAGAATCAAGACAATTTACCACTTCCTTTGCAATCTAAGTGCCTCTTATTTCTTATTCTTATTGCTCTGGCTAGAATATAAATATCAAACAGCATTGGCAATAGCAGACATCACCTTGTGATATTAGTAGGAAAGTATTTTGACCATGAACTATGATGTTAGTGGTAGGATTTTTGTGTAAATCTCTTTTAAGATGGAGAAATATTTATTTATCATGTTTATGTTAAATTTCAGACTTAAAAGTTTTATTATTTTTATTTATTTATTTATTTATTTTGAGATGGAGTCTTGCTCTGTTGCCCAGGCTGGAGTTCAGTGGCGCGCTCTTGGCTCACTACAACCTCCGCCTCTGGGGTTCAAGCAAATCTCCTGCCTCTGCCTTTCAAGTAACTGGGATTACAGGCACCTGCCACTACACCCAGCTAATTTTTATATTTTTTAGTAGAGATGGGGTTTTACCATGTTGGCCAGGCTGCTTTCGAACTCCTAAGCTGAAGCAATTTACCGATCTCAGCCTCCCAAAGTGCTGGGATTACAGGTGTGAGCCACCGCGCCCAGCCTAATCTCAGCACTTTGGGAGACCACAGTGGGAGTCTCCCTTGCGTCCAGGAGTTCGAGACCAGCCTGGGCAACATAGCAAGATCTAATTTCTACAAAAAGTAGAAAACAATTAGCTAGGAGTGGTAATGCATGCCCCTGTAGTCCCAGCTATTCAGGAGGCTGAGGTAGGAGGATTGCTTGATCCTCGGGAGTTGGAGGCTGCAGTGAGCTATGATCATGCCACTGCACACCAGCCTGGGCAACAGGGTAAAACCCTGTTTCTAAAAAAAGAAAAAGAAAAATGTGTTCGTCATTTATACGTCAGCAGAGTCATTCTCCATTTCCATCTTACTAGACAAATGGTATGTGTCTGCATTTCTCTCACTGATGAAAATAGAGCTTTTTCATTCAAGGAGGGTGTGGTTGGGTGAAGGGATGAAAAGCAATGTTTGTTCTGGTGTGATCCAGAGCTGCAAAGCCTAGTTCTACCCCATTCATTCTATATTTAAAGGCTTTAGAAGTATGATATTTGAAATGTTGCAAAACTAACGCCAATTTTTTTTTGTACGTAGGTGGTCGTGTGATGGTAACAGATGCTGACAGGTCGATACTATCTCCAGGTGGAAGGTAAAACCTAATTTCATTACTGCTGTTTAACTCCCACATCTCACAAAGTTTTAGTTGTTAGATAATTGAAATATTAGAATATTAAAAAGGCCTTATGTCACACATCTTAAAGTTTAATAGGTAAGGATATCATTTGGAGATCTTGTGAATATGCCCTCTTTGACTTGGTATTTCTGAATAGTAGAGTTCCTGGGAAAAGCCAGTGGCATTGGCCACACTGTGAATTGGCCTTAGAGTGGTATTTGGAAGTTAATATGCTATTCTGTAGTATTGTACTGTTTTCCCCAAAAGATAGATAGAAATTAAAGTACTAAGTTCAGTTGATAACTCTTTTTTTTTTTTTTGAGATGGAGTTTTGCTCTTTTTGCCCAGGCTAGAGTGAAGTGGCGTAATCTCGGCTCACTGCCACCTCTGCTCCCTGCTCCCCTGGGTTCAAGTGATTCTCCTGCCTCAGCCTCCCAAATAGCAGGGACTACAGGCATGTGCCACCACACCCGGCTAATTTTTTTCTATTTTTAGTAGAGACGAGGTTTCACCATGTTGGCCAGGCTGGTCTTGAACTCCTAACCTCAGGTGATCCACCCGCTTCCACCTCCCAAAGTGCTGGGATTACAGGCGTGAGCCACCGTGCCTGGCCCTATAACTCTTAATATGTTACTCTGTAGTATTTTATAGTACTTTTTTCCCCAAAAGATAGATAGAAATTGAAGTCCTAAGTTGAGTTGACAACTTTTTTTTTGGAAACAGAGTCTCGCTCTGTCACTCAGGCTGGAGTGCAGTGGCATAATCTCAGCTCACTGCAAGCTCCACCTCCTGGGTTCAAGTGATTCTTCTGCCTCAGCCTCCTGAGTAGCTGGGACTACAGGCAAGCGCCACCACACCTGGCTAATTTTTGTATTTTTAGTAGAGATGGAGTTTCACCATATTGGCCAGGCTGGTCTTGAACTCCTGACCTTGTGATCCACCTGCCTCGGCCTCCCAATGTGTTGGGATTACAGGCGTAAGCCACTGTGTCCAGCTGAATAACTCTTAATTATGCAAGAAATAAATATGCCAGTTTTAAGCTGAGTCAGGTTGGCACCTGCCTTGGTCAAGGGAGGGATCTTACACTTTGAGATCCAGAGACTTTGAATGTTGTGGAAGTGACTGTCACCAGCACATGGCTTGATCAGGGCTTTCTTCTCCTTGCAGTTGTGGTCCCATCAAAGTGAAAACTGAACCCACAGAAGATTCTGGTACGTACTAGTGCTTTTAGAATCAATGGTGAAATTAAGGAAGACTTTTCCGTAGTGTAGAAGGTTATAGTTTGACTCAATTATTGTTTTGTTTTGATAAGAAAGAGGCAGTCACTACTAATATATTCCAACTGTGACACTATTTGTTAATGTTATTACATTAAGACCCAGAAAGGTAATTTGCTCAGCAAGTGGTAGGCAGAGTTCTTTGCCAGTTACACGTGTTTGTAGACAAAATGTATTGTCTTCTTTTCCAGTTATACAGACATATAATGTAAGAGGTCGGCTGTTCTGTAGTGCTTTTTACAAAAATCAATAGAATGCCCCCTTCTCTCCTCCTTCCCTCTACACTCCCGTTTTCCACGCTCCAAGGAGACCATTTTCAATTCTCAAATAAAAGTGCTATTTAATGCCGTATTTGTTTATTTATTTTTTGAGACGGAGTCTTGCTTTGTCACCCATGCTGGAGTGCAGTCTTGCAACTTCGGCTCACTGCAACCTCTGCCTATGGGTTCAAGCGATTCTCCCACCTCAGCCTCCCGAGTAGCTGGGATTACAGGCATGCGCCATCACGCCCGGCTAATTTTTGTATTTTTAGTACAGATGGGGTTTTGCCAGGTTGGCCAGACTGGTCTTGAACTCCTGACCTCAAGTGATCCGCCCACCTCAGCCTCCCAAAGTCCTGGGATTACAGGCATGAGCCAGTGCGCCCGATCCCCTGTTTATAATTCGGTTCTGTCCTAGAACCATGGCATCCAGATGTCCTCAGCATATTTATTTATTTCAACATTTCCCCAGTGTTACTCTGTGTCCCAGTGCCACTGTCAAGCCTCCCGCTGCTCGGCCCTGTGCCCCTTATTCACACGAGACGCTCCTTAGTGGGCTGTCACCACCCTGCTGGCCCCCTCATCTCCCTCTGTCTGCCCAGGCCCTCGGCAGCTTCCCCAGCCCCTTTCCCGGCCCTTCGTCAGCCTTCTCATTCTGCCATGCTTTCTGGGCAGCCACCTACCCTGCTTGACCCCATCTAAGGGCATCTCGAATGAGTTGTTGGGGAGGCGAGAAGGGGGCGTTAACATGTGTGCGTGCATGTGAATGAGAGCTTTTATGTGTGTAAGTGTATTTTGGGAGAGCTGCAAGAAAAGTGTTGAATTATCCTTTTTTGGAAAAGGTATTTGAGTCTTTTACACTGTTTGCCGGTTTTACAGAAGGTTTTTCTTTTTTCTTTATTTTCACTCCATAGGAAATCTCACATTTTTGTGTAGTTTTTAGTAGATTGTGCCAAAAAAAAATCATCATTTTGCAAATTTTTCCCCTTAATTCATGTATTCATCTCCTGAATATTTAGTTTGCTTCCAAAAAGAAACATGCTGAATTGGGAAACCCCAAGTATTTAATCGAATTCTTTCAACTGTCTTTATGTACGCATCAGCATCATTATAGGTTTCTGTTTTCTCTTTTACACTTTGCATCTTTATATTCTTAATTTATCCTGCAAAGAAGATTTTATTTACATGTACAGCCAGGGTGCAGTCAGGAGACAGAAACCATATCAGTTATTGGAACAGAGAAAATTTAACATAAAGATTGTTGGCCGGGTGCGGTGGCTCATGCCTATTATCCCAGCACTTTGGGAGGCTGAGGTGAGTGGATCACCTGAGGTCAGGAGTTTGAGACTGGCCTGGCCAACATGGGGAAACCTAGTCTCTGCTAAAAATGCAAAAAAATTAGCTAGGCGTGGTGGGCGCCTGTAATCCCAGCTACTCAAGAGGCTGAGGGAGGAGAATTGCTTGAACCCAGGAGGTGGAGGTTGCATTGAGTCAAGATCGTGCCATTGCACTCCAGCCTGGGCAACAAGAGTGAAACTCTGTCTCAAAAAAAAAAAAGATTGTTAATTAGTTATAAAGTTGTTTAACTTTGTAACCTAAAAACCTAAACGAGAATACTAAAGTTTTCTTTAAGGAACAATTCTAGGCAGTGACTGCCACCCCGTCAGCTTTCCATCTGACTTCTGAGGTGGGGTAGTGTTTGACTGGTGCTGGTGGCTGACAGGCGTGGCGAGGCTGCTTCTGGTAGTGTCAGAGACATTGCCAACTAGGCACAGCTGTTGTGATGGGAGGGCCTGCTTTGGCCAGGCTGATTAAGGATACCGAGGAGTCACCTTTTTGGGATGAGAATGCAGACAAGAAGCCAAAAGGAAGGCCCAGATCCCTTCCCCTCCTCTAGCCTGTCTCTCTGTAGTGTATCCTTGTGGCAGAGACTTACACAGAGGCAGCTGCTGTGCAGAACTCAAGCTTCAGCAGAAACCCAGAGGATGGGTTTGCAACTGAGAGACATCAGTTTTGCGGCTGGCCCAGGCTGTGTTCTCTTTGGCTACTCAGCATATATACACACCCTTCCCTGCACATTTGACCTCCTATACAACAACGAGACAACTCTTCCATCTAAAGAGATGTAACGTGACTTCCTACAAAGAAATCCATTTTTACCCTCTCCTCAAAATGGGGAGACACAGTGTTCCAGCAGTCACACCCATCGCTGGGAGACTGACTTAAAAGTCGCGAGCTATATCACCTGCTCTTTAAATGCAGCCCAAACCTAATTGAGTAATCTCTAGTCTAATGGACAAATGGAAAGGAAACCTCCAACCAAACTATTGTGAAATACTACTGCACAGAAGAGAATAGTTAGTATATGCAAACGCATAATCTTTACACAAACACATTTGTAACAGACAAGAAAGAGAGTAGGCATAGTTGCCACAGTCTACGCTTCTGCAGCTTACCAGACTTTTTTTTGGATTTACCTTTTTACTTTATTTATTTATATTTTTTGAGACAAAGTCTCACTCTGTCGTCTAGACTGGAGCACAGTCGTGCGATCTCGGCTCACTGCAACCTCCGCGGCTCAGGTTCAAGTGATCCTCCCACCTCAGCCTCCCGAGCAGCTGGGATTACAGGCGTGTGCCATCCAGCCAATTTTTGTATTATTTATTTATTTATTTTAGTAGAGACGGGGTTTAACCGTGTTGGCCAGACTGGTCTTGAACTCCTGACCTCAGGTAATCCATCCACCTCAGCCTCCCAAAGTGCTGGGATTACAGGCGTGAGCCACTGCACCCAGCCAGTATGTGTGGGGTTCTGCAGCCGATTGGAGTGACCCAAATTTTTATCCCTGAAGGGTCTGAATCCCCAGTGGCTCTGCCTTTTTTGTTAGCTATAATGCTGTAATTTATTGCCTGCCTGCCTGCCTGCCTGCCTGCCTGCCTTCCTTCCTTCCTTCCTTCCTCCCTCCCTCCCTCCCTCGTCTTGCTGTACCACCCAGGCTGGAGTGTAGTGGCGCCATCTCTGCGCACTGCAACCTCCGCCTCTTGGGTTCAGGCGATTTTTATGCTTCAGCCTCTCGAGTAGCTGGGACTACAGTTGCGTGCCACCACTCCCGGCTAGTTTTCGTATTTTTAGTAGGGATGAGGTTTCACCATGTTGTCCAGGCTGGTCTTGAACTCCTGACCTCAGGTGATTCGCCCGCCTGGACCTCCCAAAGTGCTGTGATTACAGGCATGAGCCACCATGCCCGGTTGTTAGCCGTAATTTTCTATTCGCTTTTACTGATGGACATGAAAGTGCTAAGTTAGCCCAGAGAATCGCAAAGGTCTCAGATGCAGTGTTGTCTGCCACCACTGTGTAGCAGCAAAACACTTTCCCCTTGGTGATCGAAGGCAGTGGAGTAACTCCTTTGTTTGCTTGTTGCTTCAGGGATGCATACCCTTTGTGTATCAGTTTAACTCTCTTTGAGCTCTTTCTCTAGAGTTGAAAATATTCTTTACAAAGTTGCCCAAGTCAGAGCTCACGATTTCATTCGTGTTAGGGTTGGTATGACTGTGGTTGAATATTTCAGCCTGAAACGTGTATGTGCACCCATGCATTGTTCATTTCCTTTTCTTTCTTTTTTTTTTTTTTTTTTTGAGACGGAGTCTCGCCATGTCACCCAGGCCGGAGTGCAGTGGCACGATCTCGGCCCTTCCCAAAGTCAGCTTTTTAATAACATCGATTGCTTTTGCCTGTTTTGACCTTCCTACGAGTGGAATTTGCACAACATGTACTCTTTTGTATCTGGCCACAAAGGTCTGCTTCAAATCACCTGTCCTAATTGTGGACAAAGCCTTGTGCAGAAAGGTGTGCTTTGTACCCTGGCACAAATCCTTGTAATAAAAGGGATTTATTAGGCGAAAAAAAATCAATGTATTTCGTTATTGAAATTGTTAACCATGATGCTGTCTCTCCTTTGGAATACTGAGTTATTAAAGCTGATGTTTGTAAGTGTGTTTCAATGGTTTATAAAAGTATTTTTAACATTAAGTGAAAAGGGAGTGTGGCAAACTTTTCTTTGATTCTAAAGATAAGAATTTGCTGGCGAAAAGAGCAGCAAATAATTGCAGAATATTAATGAATGGTTAAAATTTTGCGCTGGCTGGGATTATAGGTGATTTTTACCTTCTGCTACCTACTTTTGTCTTTTCAAAGACCTAAAGTCTTTATTTAAAGTAAATACGCATTGCTGTATTTATAGGGAGGGCAAAGAGGATTTCCCTACACAATCTAGCTGTAAGTTCTGACATGCAATCATATCATTGCATTTGCTTTTCTAGGTATCTCCCTGGAAATGGCAGCTGTGACGGTAAAGGAAGAATCAGAAGATCCTGATTATTATCAATATAACATTCAAGGTAAATCGAGTTAATGCAGTTTTTCATTCTAAAAATTATTTGTGGTTAAAGTTAAAATTTGCTCATCAATTGCTTTAATTTCTTAAATAGTATTTTATTGATCAGTTCTTGATTAACATATATATTTATAATTCAGTCACTGGCATAAAACATTTTAAAAATGGGGCTATAAGATCGACTCAGACAATCCATAGGGGATATGTAAAATAGCCATTCATGTTCTTAAAAAGGATGAGCAAAAGTTGTGGCACAATTTAGAATTCAATCCCAGGTTGTAGTGTTGCAAAATAAAATAAACCTATTAGGCAAATGCAGATATATCATCAGCTTAATTTTTTCTCACTGCATAATTATAGTATATTAAACACTTAAAAAAACCTGGTTAGCTTTGCCATGTACATACCTAATACATCATCTTCACTGCATCCAAGATAATGAAATATCTATAACCCCAAAAGTTTCCTGTGTCCCCTTGTCATTCATTGCCCTGCCCAGTATTCAGGCAACACGGATCTGTTTTCTGTTTTAGGTTAGTTTGCATTTTCTATAAAGTCTTATGAATGAAATAATAAAATGTGGACTATTTTCATGGGGCGGGGAGCAGTGTGGCTTCTTTGATTTCACATGATTGTTTTGAAATTCAAATTCATCCACAGCATTGCATGTATCGGTAGTAGATTCCATTTGATTGTTAATTTGTGTTCTTTTGTATGCCTGGGTCAAAATTTGTTCATCTCTTTGTCTGTTGATAGCCATTTGGGTTCTTCCAGTTTGGGGCCATTACAAATACAGGTACTGTGAACATTTGTGTACAAGCTTTTGTGTGGACATAGGCCTTCATTTCTCTTTTTTTGGTTTGTTTTTTGTTTTTTGAGACAGAGTCGCACTCTGTTGCCCAGGCTAGAGTGCAGTGGCGCGATCTTGGCTCACTGCAACCTCTGCCTCCCGGGTTGAGGTGATTCTGTTGCCTCAGCCTCCCGAGTAGTTGAGATTAAGATGTGTGCCGACACACCTGGCTAATTTTTGTGTTTTTTAGTAGAGATGGGGTTTCACCATCTTGGCCAGGCTGGTCTCGAGCTCCTGACCTCAGGTGATCCACCCGCCTGGGCCTCCAAAAGTACTGGGATTACAAGCGCTACCATGCTTTTTTAAAATGAAATATTTAAAACCTAAAAGTATAGTATCAATCTGCCCAGGTTTAGGGAACCATAGTATTCGTCTCTTCTCTCCTCCCTCCAAGAAGTAACGTGTAACTATTTCATTGAAGCCCTTCTTTGGGCTCTCCCAAATTCCCACTTCTCTCTCTATTCTTCTTAAGTTGACCATGATCTTGAAAACTGAGAATTGTCCTTCCTGATGGTGGTGTTGTGGTTTAGTATGTAAATATTCTTGAAGGACTCTGTGTGGTACACTGTATATGTTGTTGAGTATAGTCTGTCACTCAATTTAAGTTTTCAAGATTTATCTTTTTTTTCTCGGGGGTAGGGGATGGATTTTTGCTCTGTTGCCCAGGCTGGAGTGCAGTGGCGCAATCTCAGCTCACTACAACCTCTGCTTGCCAGGTTCAAGCAATTCTCTGCCTCAGCTGGGATTTATCTATTTTGTCACAACTAGATTTAATCATGTCATCATGGTAGTTACACTGTGTGATTATAATACAGTTCATTTATTCGTTCTTTTACATAAGGACATTGATGTTTTCTTCTAAAACCTTTTGTATTCCAAAATAGGCTTGGATATATTTCTCTGTGCACCTCAGTGCTCCTGTAAAATAGTGGCATTCAAATGTGAGTGTTGGGAATGTGTTGGTTTTCTCAATGATTGGTAGGCACCTCAAGCATTTGAGAGGTGGAGGTTAAGTATGTTTTAGGGTGAATAAAATCAAGTACCATTTTTAGGGTGAATAAAATTCAAATACGTGACATTAAAATAATTTGGAAGTATAGTGATACATGAAGGTAGGCTGAGTAAATACCAACTAAAAAATATATAGTTTAGCAATATTGGAGGCCAAAAACAGTAGCAGCAGGGGTAGAATAAGACTACGTAATATTTAAAGGAATCAGTCACTAAGTTGATACAACAACCATTAGTTTGTATGTGCCTAACAATGTATCCTCAAAGTAAAAGTAAAAATTATTTACAAGTTATAAGTCTCTGTAGATATGTACAGTCATGTGGGAGATTTTAACCAATGATATATGTCTAACTGATGAATACTTTTATAACATTTATATGTTACATAGAATATTTTAACTATAGTTAATATATTTAAGCTAACTAAAGAAAACTGTGTACCCAGGAAATAAGTTTATTTACAAAGCATGAATCATTTATAAAAATTGACTGTATACTTGTTCACAGGTAGTCTTAATAAATTCTCTGAACATACTGAAATTAAATTATTAATAGAAAACATAATACAGTGGGAATCCTAGGAAACATGCTTATAATTGACTTAATGAGGGCCTCATTAAAAATATTTAGACCAGAATATCGAGAATGCCACATAAATTTGTGAAGAGCAGCTAAAGCAGTACTTAGAGGTCAATTAGTAGCCTTCACTAACATTGCATTTTTAAATCCTGTAAATAGCACATCTTCCTTTTCACGAGTTCTGTATGTTTTACTCAGAGTCAGAAGACTAGGAAGCAGTGGATCTAGCATTTGAATTTAGGAGTCTACATTCAAAGACTTGCTCTCCTTTGAGATTCCAAATAGAAACTATTTCTTTATTTCTCATGCAATTGATTTTTTTCTCTGATGTGTCCTTTGCCTGTAATGTGTAGTGTGGTGCATCTTTGTGAAATTTCTTAGGCTTTAATGAATGAAGCATTTCAAACGACTTAGGATGTTTTCTCAGTTCTCTTCAGAGATAGTTAACTGATTTGTAGTCTTATTAATGCCAAAATGTGTTTTATGTTAAATAGCCATTGAAAACACCATGTTTTGTTTTCTACTTTAAAACTATTACTACTTTAATCATTAAAAAGTTTGATGATAACATTTAAGTGTGTTGTCAAAATATAGCAGTTTGTGAAGTTAAATTTAACTCAGAGTACGTTCTGTGTTTTGGAAAGAATCTTATTAGAAAAAATGCCCGTGGTGCTGGAAGAAAGGGAAAATGAATTAATAGCTGTTAGTTTGTCACATTTCTATTTGAGTAGACATGCAAGGAGATGGTTTACGTTATTTTAGAGATTCTAAGGAAGGTATATAACATTTGGTTCTGCATTTTTCTTCAGTATGTCAAAAGCGTAAGCAAATATTTGCCAAAGAAGAAACATATACACCTGTGAGATAAACCTGCATTTGTAATCTCTATGAAGTAAAAGTTACAGTTTACTGTTATAAACATTGTACTGTTTTAAAAAACCCATATCTTCCATTTTAGACATACCATTCCCATTCAATCCATATGTCCAGTCATCTTCAAAATTTCTTTTGACTGTTTACATATGAATTTACCTGATTACATTTTTCCATTCACCAAGATCATGAATTGACATTGCTCATTTTGTCAGTCTTCTTTAAAAAATTTTTTTCTTTTTTATTTATAAAAAGGCCATTCCATGTATCTCACCCAAATTTGTTGACTAAAGTCATCCCACATTTTTTTTGGGGGGCGGGGGATTACTTTTGAAGTATTATCTTTGTATCCCAAAGCAGGCCCTTCTGAAACCGATGATGTTGATGAAAAACAGCCCTTATCGAAGCCTTTGCAAGGTATAATCTTTTCACTCCCGTTCTCCCACATACTGCTCATATTTAATGTTTCCTTATATTGCACAGACTGTGTTTTAATATTTATAAGTATCGTGTTACTTTTCTAAATGGAAAAGGAAAAAAAATGTATTGGCCTTTTTTTTTTAACATATAAATGAACTTCACAAGCAACAATTTTTCAAAATCAATTTTCCCTTTTGTGAATCTAGTAATGAATCTCGAAATGGGTACATGACACACTTTCCTATTGAAGGTAAAGTACACATTTATACCTTATCTCAGAACAGTCAGAAGCCAGGTTACTGTTGTATTGGTTAGCGATGCGAATATTGATAAGGTCATGTTGATACTTAGTATTTAGAAGAATTCTGAAATAGCACTTGTTAATCTGTAAGTTTCAAGTTGATTGCCTTTTTGGCAATTTTTTATAGTGTTCCGAAACTTGATACTCATAGGCTATTAGTAATGGCGTTTACTTCTATCTATTCTGGCTTTGAGTGCATAAGATGTATTATCTTTAGGCTTAGCATATAATGTAAATGTAATTGTTTATTTTGGATTTTAAAAGACATATAGAATTGTTGCTTACACGAACAGTCATCTTAACTGTTATTCTTTGCTGAAATTTTCCTTTTTACCTACTGACCTCGTTGTTTCGCTCTCATTCTTTTGACCTCACATCCCTTTTTTCTTTGACTTTTACAAAGAACTTAATGCTCCATAAATTCAAATATTAAGATTAAAAAAAGAGAAAGGAAGTATGTAGAGAAAGCATATTTTAAAAATGAATTGAAGATTGACTCGTAGGTATAGGTTTATAGATTTACCTACAGTTTTGAGTTCAGGTGAGTTTTCACAATGCAAAGGAAGTGGAAAAGAATCCCCAGATAATTGTGACATGCTAAAGCTAGATACTGAGAACCAAAAAGATGTGACCTCAGTATGGTACTTTGAATTCAAGGATATTAGCCACCAAATGACAGTTTTTCAGACTGTAAGGATTGCTCTTTAAAAATCAAGATAAAATACATTTATAACTTATATGTTACTTTCAGTATAGCGTCTGAACTTAGTTCTCAATAGATAAGACAAAATAGATGAGCATCTGCTTCCTTTCCCCTCAAGCGATGTATTCTTACTGATAGGTAATATGTTTTTATTGGTACTTAAAGGCAATGTTTTTCCATCTTTTCCATGTTAGTAGCTCAGATCTTTAAGGACAGAGGATACCAGTTAGGGGGCAGCTTGCGTTCTTAACCCTAAGTGGCTCTCTGATGGCTTAGATTCTTTCTTTCCTTTTCGTGAGTAAAACTTCTGCTCTAGTAGGATGAGCCTGTTTACCTTGTGACTGCCTAACTGATCATGCTTTATGTTCCAGTTTTTAGAAGCAGGCAGATTATATTACCTGACTTAAAATGCTTTTGAGACTAAAGGTAGTATCTTAAATTTTAACTTACGAGTTTCCTTTAAGTACAACTTTGATGAAATGACGGGGATTGAGTTTCCATGGCTTTCGCCCTAGTGAAAATGGAAAGCATGAAACGTTTTCCACAGCAAACCCTGAGCTTCCTTACAGAGAGTTAATTACGTGTCTGAGCACAGCAAGCATTGACTCTGATCCGTGTGTGTATGTGTGTCACTGTCAGATGAGCCTGGTGCTTGAAGTAATAATTCTACTTCCTCAGATTCCAATATCTAGTAATTTTATCATGTAGTTATAGTAACTAATATTCAATCCCCAAACCTACTTAGGTCTGCTCTGTATTTGTGTTTTAAAACAGTTCTTTTTGCTTCCAAATAGAAGCGTTGTATTCTTTTCTGAATTAGAAAACATTGTTTGACTTAATGGCTAAAGAGTTAGACAATCATTTTGCATATGTTCATTACGTCTTACATTGTTTGCATTGTTACCTAGATTCTCTTTCATCTTTCAGTGTCAGTTTTTACTGGTTTATTATACGTTGTCTATTTTCTTTTTAGGAAGCCATCATTCTTCAGAGGGCAACGAAGGCACAGAAATGGAAGTCCCAGCAGAAGGTTAGGAGAAAAAGAGATTGCATATTTTACACTATTTGTTGTATGTTTATTCTATTTTATAGATTCTATTATCCTTAAAACACCTCATTTGGAAATAAAAGGTGATTCCTTTGGTATGCCTTCCTAGCCAACAGGTTATTTTTTTTTTTTTTAAGTTCTAAGATGTAATATGCTTCTTTGACCATACTGATTAATAAAGCCTATGGGATTGAAAACTAAGTGGTAAGTAAAGCTCTTACATGATGCAAAATGCTACTTTTTTTTTTGTCCTGGTTTTCGTGTGCCATATTAAAGATCTTTTAAGGAAGAATAGCTTCAGTGTTTCAGAATTACAATGACTAGCTCCATTCGTATTTTATTTTCAAACGTGCTTTTTAATAGTTCTAGTCTTTCAGTACGGTAAGAATATAGTCTACATAAAATTTATAAAGGAGAGAGTTTCTCCCTTTATTTTATACCCACAACTACTCCATAAACGACTTTGTCAGTTTACCAGCTCTACAGCTTTGGTTTTAGGATGGAACACCTGACTGAGGTACAGTTCTTTTTCTTTAGAATCCTGAGTTAAACTTATCATACAGGGTGACTTCTTACTTCCAAGGGGTTTAAACGGTTCCACACAAATTTTTGTAGATTTCCCCCAAGGAAAATGACTGGTAAGGTATCCGAATCTTGTTTTAGGATTATTTCTCTCATAAATCGGTCACGTTATACCTTATTTTTCTAGAATGAAAAGAGGGGTCTACTGTGTAACTGCTTATATTCCATTGTATTTACATTTGTATTTTAATTAAAATAAATCATTTGTTTGATCTTTTACCTTCTTTGAGGGAAAAGACAATCTTAAAAGTCCCCCAGTAGAGGCTGGTTTCTCCAAATTCAGTTACAGAATTAGGGTTTCTCCCTGGAATACATTTCTCTCAGAAATACTGATATGCTCATTTTAAACCGTTGGTTACATTTCCCTGTCAGCTCTTTTTATAGAAGATTGTGTGGGTGAATGTTGTATGCTTTACCGTGTGGAGGTGGGTATTTTCTCTGTGACAGAGTTTTCAGTTTTGAATAGGCGGGATTTAGAACAACAAGACCTGGGTAATAGATCACAACTTTGCAGTACGAGGGCTCACCGCCTTGCAGCCCCGTCGGCAGGTACTGCATCTTGAAGACTGCGTTTTTAGGACATTTTTACTGTCATCTTCCAGTGTTAACAGAGTGGAATCGAATCTGGGTTCTGGCCTTTATTCCTTTACTAACAAGTAAACATAATCTTTGGCAAATCAATTAATCTCTCGACCTTTGCACAACGAAAGAGAACTAATGAAAATACTCTCTAAGCTTCTAGCACTAACATTCTGATGTACGTTTGTCTTGTGTAGGAACAAATATGAATGAACTTTTTAATTTTTGAAATACGTTGCATACAAAGCCAGAGGATATAGTCCTGTGTGCACTTGTGACACTCAGTCTCTTGATAGGAAAGTCTCCATTGCAAAGCCTGGGTTGTGGTTTTATTGAACAGTAGAAACCACTCCTCACATTTCTGAAAGGAGAGGAGAAATTCTAACCCAAGTAGAAAGCATTTGTTTCTATCCGAGCATCTTCTAGCTGTGGCAGGAAATTCATTTGTGACTTTGTCAGACCCTCATTCCTCCAAGACTATGGGATTTTTTTTGAGCCAATTTCTGCAGGTAACATGTTATTATCTAAATTTTTCCAGAGTTTTTCTAATTTTTGTTTTCTTTTATCCCTATTTATAATGAAAAGGGTCAAATTTTAATTTCATTAATATGAAATGAATTAAAATGCCAGTGAATTTTTATAGTAGGCTGCTTCTGGAGTTATCAAATCAGTAAAATGTTGGAACATATGGAAAAATGCTTAATAATGAATGTCATTTTAGAATTTTATTTTTTTCAAGATTCTACTCAACATGTCCCTTCAGAAACAAGTGAGGACCCTGAAGTTGAGGTGACTATTGAAGGTTAGTTATCTAAAAGCCTTGATTCCAAAGTTTACTTCTGGTCATAAAAATATTTGTCACATTCACATTGCTAAATATGCATTTCATTCATTTTGAAAGGAGACTTGTGGGACGAATACATGTGTTTGTGTGACCAAAGTAGCCCACTCCCCAGCAGTGCACCCCAGTGCTCTGGGAGTTTTAGATGACAGAATGAAGCCGTGAGAATTAGCACTGGCCCACAGGTGGCCCAAGCTATCCTTGCTATCAGTGGGAATTGAGAAGAGTAAAAGAAAATTATGACCAGACTTGATACACACAGAAACAGATTCTATAATCTATGGGGTTGTGATAGAAGAAGACTTATTTGGAGCTGGAATCCCTAATTTCTAATTAAAAGTAAAGTGGAGGAGAAAGTGTTGATAGTTTAGTAAGTAATTTTTAAAGCAAGTTCCCCCCGCCCCGACCCGCAAATACTACTTAAAGGCTGACATACAATTTATCTTTCAGAACTGTTATTCTACAATATTCTTCTATAGCTAAGATTGCTTCAAACCTAGTTTTGTTTTTTTCTCCAAAGATAAGCATGAACTTGATCAGCTGAGACAGTTTATCCTGAATTATTTGAAAATTCAGCTAATAGAATTATTAACTATCACTTCATATTAATAATTATTAAATGAGCATTGCGTTTTTCCTTTTAAATTAATGTCTCACGGCTGGGCACGGTGGCTTGCACCTGTAATCCCAGCACTTTGGGAGGCCAAGGTAGGCAGATCACTTGAGGTTAGGAGTTCAAGACCGGCCTGACCAACATGGTGAAACTCCATCTCTATTAAAAATACAGAATTAACTGAGTGTGGTGGTGTGTGCCTATAATCCCAGCTACTTGGGAGGCAGAGGCAGGAGAATCACTTGAACCCTGGAGGCAGAGGTTGTAGTGTGCTGAGATCACACCATTGCACTACAGCCTGGGCGACAGAGTGAAACTCCATCTTAAAAAAAATAATAATAAATTAATGTCTCACAGTACTTTGGTAAGTTTCTTCCCCTCAAAGTACTTCTTTCTTATGGTAAAATGTGAAAATGGTACAGTAAATTGCACAGTGGAACGTCTTCTTCACCCTCAGTCTGCTCCCAAGTCCTAATACCGAGGGATGTATGTCAGCTTATTGTGTCTACTTCGAGAAATAATTGCAGTATATATCTTGATTTTTGCAAAAATACACTGATGTTTTCAGCACACATTACAAAGCAAATTTTAAAATATCACATATTCCATAGGCCTCCCCCTCCCATAACTGTACATCTTGGTGCTTTATTAGTTTTTTTCTAGCTGCTGCGTAACCTTTCTTGGTTTGCTGTCTCTCTCTCTTTCTGTCTTAACAACCTGTCGCCTCCTGATGTCACTTGGTTATTTCTAGTGTTTGACTACTCCAAACTACTCAACGTGTCTGTCTTCATTGCTTCTAAAATATAAGTCCTTTAGTAGCTTCCACCTAATATAAGACATCTTTTCATACTTCATGTGTTAATATACAGAATTCTTTTTTCATTAATATAATTTTTCTAATCGAAAACATTTTGAATTGTTTACAGTCTAGCAATAAATAGTTTAAATTTAATTCCTTTTTAGTTAGAAACCTTATTAACAGGAAAAAAATTTAAGAACATATAAATATTATAAATACTCAGCTGTGCCCTATCTATGGAGATATTAATATAGGAGGTTATTAAAATTATAAAAATAAAGCTTTTAGGTGGGACTAATAACCATTTTGATTTGTCAAATCTTAAAGCAGATAGAGGCTGTATTAAAATGGTTTAGAATGTAAATATTTTAAGAAAATCCAGAAATAAATGGCTCATGAACCTGAAGTGTACATCAGTCTTTTTGAACTTTAACTGTTTTGGATGGAGTAATAAATCTCATTTATTTAATTTAATTTAATTAATTTATTTATTTTTGAGACGGAGTTTCACTCTTGTTGCCTAGGCTGGAGTGCATTGGCGTGATCTTGGTTCACCGCAACCTCCGCCTCGCAGGTTCAAGCAGTTCTCTTGCCTCAGCCTGCCTAGTAGCTGGGATCACAGGCATGCGCCACCACACCTGGCTAATGTTGTATTTTTAGTAGAGACGGGATTTCTCCGTGTTGGTCAGGCTGGTCTCGAACTCCCGACCTCAGGTGATCCCCCCCAACCTTGGCCTCCCAAAGTACTGGGATTACAGGCGTGAGCCACCACGCCAGGCCATTCATTTCTTTTAAACTCAGACGTTGTGCCGGACGCCTGATTTAACGTTCACATTTGTGATTAAGTAGCAGAATTTTGCTATGTAGACTTCTTTCTTTTCAGAAGACCAGTGAAATACCAGGTCTGAGTAAAGTAATTCTTTTAAAAGGTAGCATTTTCCATGTCATATGTGCTTACACATATACACATTTTATATATGTACATATAAAAGACATGTATATTATATAGAAATTATATCAACCATTGTATTCCTAATTTTTTTAGGAAGATAAAAAATTGTCTTGATACAAGGTCAAGTGAGAACTTAGATGCACACCTCTGGTTAATAATGTGTATTGTATATTCTTTCTGAAAAAGTTACTTCCAGATGGTGGGAGCTATTTAGATAGCCATAGTTGGGAAATAAAATTTTGGTATATCTTCATAACAGAAAAATTTATAGCCATTGAAATGCTGATAATGTTTTCAATAATCTGCAAAAAGATCTCTAATATAAAATGTTCAGTGGGAAAAAAAAATCCTGCCTTAAGAACAAGGCAACTTGAAAAGCAAAAGTGTATCTAGAGAATAATCTTAGTTTTGTTTTGGAAAATACTCGTGCTTGATAGGAAGATGGACAGAAATAAACTGAGATATTCCTACTTGCCTGGAGACGACTTAATTTTAGATATAAATCTTTTCACATTTCCCAAATCATTGATAGAAAAGAAAAAAAAAAACAACAGAACTTTGTCATCAAATAAGTCTGTCCAGGCTGAGCGCGGTGGCTCACGCCTGTAATCCCAGCACTCTGGGAGGCCAAGGCGGGTGGATCGCGAGGTCAGGAGATCGAGACTATCCTGGCTAACACAGTGAAACCCCGTCTCTACTAAAAACTACAAAAAATTAGCTGGGCGTAGTGGCGGGCACCTGTAGTCCTAGCTACAGGGAGGCTGAGGCAGGAGAATGGCGGGAACCCGGGAGGCGGAGCTTGCAGTGAGCCGAGATCGTGCCACTGCACTCCAGCCTGGGTGACAGAGCGAGACGCCATCTCAAAAAATAAATAAATAAATAAGTCTGTCCGATTTTTCACAGTGTTTTTAACCTGGATATCTTCATTTGCAATTATGTGGAGTTCTGAAGTGGCTAATTTGACACTGACATGGACGTGTTCGTGGATACAGGGTCATCACTTAACCCCTTGCTGGTGCGCTCTGAGCTGTGCGCTTCCATTTGTGGCGTTTTATTTGTACTTGGAGTCGGTGGTAAACATTGAAAACATACGTGACTTAGGTTTGGGAAATCAGCCTTGGACTAATAGAACCGCATGCCTCAGTTTTCGTAAACACCGTGACTACATTTCTGGGTTAAGGTGAATTGCTGTCAGGTATGTTATCTCTGATGTGTGCAGAGAAAACCTTATCAGACTTGTTTCAGGTCTGGCTGTCCGGGGAGCGCTAAGAACGGTGTAAAAGAGGTTTCTTTCTTAAGGCCTAGCTTCCCAAACCTGAGTCACTTACCTGTTACCTGTGTGCCTTCTGCTGTGGCCTAACTCTCTGTTCATTACTTAACCTGAATTTTTTCCCTTAAAATGATTTTAAGTAAATTCATTTTGTGATGAATTTTACATCTTCCTAATAAGTCAAACTCTTTGACTTTTTAAATTTCTCATATTTTGAAAGGTGTATGTAAATAATTTCAAATATAATTGACTCACGTGACCACACATGGCACACTTACTGCAGCTGGTACTGTAGGTTTTTTAGGATCTCTGTAACTGAGGAGGTTAGCGTTGGAAAACTTTGTGTTTTTTTATTTTTATAGCTGTGAATCAGACACTTAATGAATACATAATTATATATGTGAAAATAGGAGTTTCAGAGGAATTATGTACTAAGATTTGAATAACACTTTTTTAGAGTTTCAGTATTTCAGTAGGGTTTATGATGGGCAGTTGGATTACCTACCATCTCTTTTTTGTGGAATTTATGTTTAAGATAGTGGCAGATACTTGGCTGCTGCATTTAATTAAGGACTATACTATTCATATATTCATTTAATCACTCCACAAATACTGAGCACATTGTATGTGCCAGGTGCTAAGAATTTTTTGTTGTTGTTTTTTTTGAGATGGAGTTTCGCTGTGTCGCCCAGGCTGGAGTGCAGTGGCTCAGTCTCGGCTCACTGCATCCTCTACCTCCCAGGTTTAAGCAATTCTCTGCCCCAGCCTCCCGAGTAGCTGGGATTACAGGCGCCCGCCACCATGCCCGGCTAATTTTTTTTTTTTTTTTTTGTATTTTTAGTAGAGACAGGGTTTCACCATCTTGGCCAGGCTGATCTTGAACTCCTAACCTCGTGATCCACCTGCCTTGGCCTCCCAAAGAACTGGGATTACAGGCATGAGCCACCGCGCCTGGCCTCTTTTCTTTTTTCTTTTTTTTAAAAGACGGAGTCTTGCTCTGTTGCCCAGACTGGAGTACAGTGACATCATCTCAGCTCACTGCAGCCTCCGCCTCCTGGGTTCAAGGGATTCTCCTGCCTCAGCCTCCTAAGTAGCTGGAACTACAGGCACATGCCACCATGCCCGGCTAATATTTGTATTTTTAGTATAGACAGGGGTTTCACCATGTTGGCCAGGCTGGTCTTGAACTCCTTATCTCAGGTGATCTGCCCGCCTTGGCCTCCCAAAGTGCTAGGATTACAGGCGTGAGCCACCATGCCTGGCCACGGTGCTATGAATTTAGTAGTGAATAATTTAGTAGCAAATCCCCAGGAGTGTTTTGAAAATACGAGTGACACTTTCCTTCACTTCTAGGAACCGTAGCGACTATGTTGAGAAAAGGGGGGGAAAAAAGAAAATACCTACAGCAGTCAATAGTGTTGACAGAAAACTAGCTTGGGGACCTCTTGGAATTACCTAGGGCACAGAGAAGGGTGCTTTAGAGCAGGTTGGTGGCAGGGGAGATAAGAAGTGGTTGATTCTGGGGAGATTTTGAAGACAAAGCCATCAGGCTTTGCTGTTTATTGTTTAATTCTTGTGTTTTCTTAAATGTCCCTGCAGCACTTTTAAAATTGATATAATTGTCAATTTTAGTGCCTAGTTTAGCACTTGAACACTTTGTTTAAAAATTTTTATTGCTGCCAAATAGTCATTTAATGAATACCCAATTGTTTATGTAAAGAGTTTTAGAGGAGCTGTAAGTTGTATCCATGGGTGAAAGAATGCATCCATTTATTTGAAATGTGTAGGGTAATTAATGCCTCCGGGTTTTGAAATAGATACAGTACCTGGTTTTGATTGTTTTTTTTTTTTTAACTTTGAATAGACATCAGATTGTATGATAACACATTACCAGTCTGATTATGTTGAAGATAAGAGTGTCAGAAGACATTGTAACATAGTCTATTTAATTGAGTCACTGGCCAGAATGCAGTGAGAAACAGCTTTCGCTCTGAAGCCTGTATTATCTGTAGGCATATTCGTTAATATGTTGCAAAAAGGAAGTTGGTGTTTTCTAAATACAAATTTTGAGTTAGGGATGGTGTTGCCAACTTGAAGGTATTGGCGGAGCGCTTTTATTACTGTGGGTAGCATAACTATTGTAAATTCATGAATAGCACCTTTTGCATATTAAAATATCTTAAAATGGGCCAGGTGTGGTGGTGTAATCCCAGCACTTTGGGAGACTGAAGTGGGTGGATCATATGAGGTCAGGAGTTCGAGACCAGCCTGACCAACATGGTGAAGTTCCATCTCTACTAAAAATATAACAATTAGCCAGGCATGGTGGTGGGCGCCTGTAATCCCAGCTACTCCGGAGGCTGAGGCAGGAGAATTGCTTGAACGTGGGAGGTGGAGGTTGCAGTGAGCCAAGATTGTGCCACTGCACTCCCAGCCTGGGTGACAGAGCGAGACTTCATCTCAAAAAATAAAATGAACTATCTTAAAATGAATCTTAAAATCTTTACATTTTGATTATGGAAACACTTAAGAGTTGGGGCTTGAATTTGAAGCATGCTGAAACGTGTGTCTTGTTACACAAAAATGGTTGTTTATACTTTGGAAACAGCAGACTAATTGGAAGAGTAATGCCCAGTATGTGAGGGCAGGCCCTAGAGCTTTAGGTGATGTTTTATGCTTCAGAGTAAAAAGTACTTTTGATCCTTTGTGGAAAGATTTTAGGTCGAGAAACACATTTTTTCTTACTTTCTCAAAACCAATTAATTGCAACAAAGAGTTCATTGCAGAAAAAATTGAGGATGTGGTGAAGTTTATAGCTGTTCTGATGCCTGAATGCCATGTTCCATATGACTTAAAACACCCAAAATTAGTTAAAAAGTTTATGAAACAGGGTTTTTAAAATAGAATATATGGTGTGATGTTTTATCAATAACTACGTTCAGCTGGATGCGGTGGCTCACACCTATAATCCCAGCACTTTGGGAGGCCAAGGCAGGAGGATTGCTTGAGGCCAGGAGTTCAAGACCAGCCTGGGCAACATAGGGAGACCCCCATCTCTATTAAAAAAAAAAAAAATGGCTGGGCATGATGGTGCAGGCCTGTAGTCCCAGCTATTTGGGAGGCTGAGGTGGGAGGATCACTTGAGCGTGGGAAGTCGAGGCTGTAGTGAGTATTGCCGCTGCACTCCAGCCTGGGTGAAAAAGTGAGACCCTGTCTCAAAAAATAAAGTAACGACATTCATCTCTGGATTTGTTAACATTTAACAGATTGAACTTTATTATTTGTCAGTGAAGAAGAAAATGTGATATCCCTGATCTTTTCAATATTTTATAGTCTTTGTTGTATTAAAAAAGCACTCTAGGAGATTTGCCTTTTTCTCTCTCTCTTTTTTTTTTGTTGATGATCGATTGGATTACCTTCATAAAATATATTTATGCTATTAAATCTTTTGTGTTCTAAAACGTTTGCGTGGCTGAAAAAGTGAAGTCTATTCAGTAAGGAAAACCCGTCTTCCCCTCCCCTGGGCCTCAGCTGTGAAGTTTGGATTTGGACTGAGATTCATGGGATGGAGCTCTCCAGGTGTCCACTCCATTCCATCTACAGCTGTGTTTCCCTTCGCATGTCATTCTACTCTAGCAGCTTTCAGTTTGTCATTCAATGAATGGTCAGTTTAAATGATGATCTATGAGGATACTTAGGAGACCTTAACCTATAGGGGAAATACTTTTATTTTAGAAGTTACTACTTAATGTTTGTAAAAAAAAAATAATAACAACAATATTAAGCATTTATAATGCTTTGACAGTATTCATAGGTGAAATGAGTGTATTTTGTTTTAACCTTTGGAAGCCAGCATAAACATACTCTTAAGGTTTCTAAAATATGTATGGGAGTTGGAAAATAGGGTTTTTAAAAAAGTATATTTTCAGAATTGAGGTCCAAACTTATACACTTCTGTTTTCCAGATTGTTTTTACTTAGGGTGGAACCTTAATCTATTTATAGGGTGTCTCGACCATTTTTCATCCTTACAGTAATACAAACCCAGGTGACAGCCAAATCTTCTTTCACAGGTAGTTTGTCATTTTAAAATTGTTTTCTGTCCTAGCCCCATGGCTCATGCCTATAATCTCAGCACTTTGGGAGGCTGAGGCAGAAGGATCACTTGAGGCCAGGAGTTGCAGACCAGCCTGGGCAACATAATGAGATCCTGTCCCTACAAAAAAATTAAAAGAAAAATAGCCAGGTGTGGTAGTTCCAGCTGTTCGGGAGGCCGAAGCAGGAGAATCATTTGAGGCCGGGAGCTCGAGGCTACAGTGAGCTACAGTCATGCCACTGCCTTCCAGCCTGGGCGATAGAATGAGACCCTGCCGAAAGATAGATAGATAGATAGATAGATAGATAGATAGATAGATAGATAGATACCCTGCCGATAGATAGATAGATAGATAAATAGATAGGTAGATAGACAGAATGAGACCCTGCCGAGAGAGAGAGAGAGAGAATGAGACCCTGCCGATAGTTTTCTATCAGAAATTTTTTCCTAGATTTGAACATGTTTTTCTAAAGTAGCGTTCAACACATCAGCATTTTATAGCGTCATTAATTGTTACTATGATTATGTTTTTCTGAAATAGTATCGTTTACAAAAGCACTTTTGTCTTTCTAAGCACATAAATAGGTCCTAAAATGAATTTGTCTGATGTTGGTGGCCTCGGTACCATTTTCTCCAGTTGATTGGCATGGTCAGCCCAGTCAATAATTTCAGGTCACTGTTGGCCTTAGAGGAAGAGCCCAAAGGCAGCATGCAAGGGTGCTGGTGTCCAGTCGCCTTCTAGAAGCATTTTTACCTTCCCTTGATTAATACAGAAGTGTCTACAGAAGTGACCCAGTGCGAGCCCGGGCGATGTTGTATATTAGGCCGAATTTGCATTTCTTACCTTTATGAGACGCACCCTCATAGGCTAGTGGAGTTACACACACAGTCTGGTCTCAGCTGTGCTCTCCAGAGCTACAACACGGTCCAATCAAATAACATTCTCTGAGCGCATTTCTTTAGCTGTAAAACAAGAATAACAATTACACCCATCTAAAAAGATAGCTTATTTTACTCACGTGATCTTTTTTTCCTATGATACTGTCTTTAACACAATAATTATTTTCTTTACCATACCACATTTGTTTTTAAATAAGAATTTCTTAAAATGATGTTTTCAGTATTTTATAAATGATGTTTGAGCAGCAATATTAATAGCATGTTACCTGACACTTTGAGGGACTAGAGATGACAGTGGCAGCTGATTTGACCCAGATGTCTCTAATCCTAACGTGAAGTGTATTGAAGGGTCACAGCAGAGTGAGTTGCTGGTGTGTATCCACAAGGAAATGAACACGGAACTCTCACGACAGCGTGTGTGCTGTGCGCTGTGCTTGAATAGCTGACTGCTCCTTTATACGCAGCCTCTGTGCGGACTGAATCAACAGTATCCATTTCATAATAATGCAGCCCTATTTCTTTAAGCCCATACATTTTGCACTTGTTAAAAGTATTTGAACAGGCCGGGCGCAGTGGCTCACACCTGTAATCCCAGAACTCTGGGAGGCCGAGGTGGGTGGATCACTTGAGGCCAGGAGTTTGAGACCAGCCTGGCCAACATGGCGAAACCCCATCTCTACCAAAAAAATACAAAAATTAGCCGGGCGCGGTGGCGGGTGCCTGTAATCCCAGCTGCTCTGGAGGCCGAGGCATGAGAATCGCTTGAGCCCAGGAGGTGGAGGTTGCAGTGAGTCATGATCGCACCTCTGAACTCCAGCCTGGGCAACAGAACAATTCTCTGTCTCAAAAAAAAAAAAAAAAAAAAGTATTTGAACATAGTTACCCAGTTTCCCTTGCTTATGCATGCTTAAATTTTGTATAAGCTTAAATATCTTTTCCATCTAAGCTTTATTTTATCCCCTTTTACTTATTTGTATAACTTTAGGTGGCTGTCTTCATTAAAAGTTTTTTCTTGAAAGTCTTAAAACAATATAGTTCTTGGCAATTTGAAAGTTATTTGAGAAGGGGAAATTTATAATGACAATTCAAATGAAGCAAACTAAAAAATAATGAAGAAAGAGGAAAAAGCAGTATTCACTTGAACACATTCCAAACAAATACAATTTCAAATGTGACTAGGAAAAAGCCTGCTAAAGCTCACAATGCAGAAATAATTATTGATACTCAAAATAGTTTTCAAGTCCCGCTCACCTTTTCAATGTTGGGAATTGACCAGGAGGTGACTGTAACTCTAAGACGGTTCTTCCAGTGATGACCATTTTCTTTTTCAAGATGATGATTATTCTCCACCTTCTAAGAGACCAAAGACCAATGAGCTACCACAGCCACCAGTCCCGGAACCCGCCAATGCTGGGAAGCGGAAAGTGAGGGAGTTCAACTTTGGTAAGTTCTCAGCGAAATACGTGACCTTTTCCTTCATCTTCTGGACTCTCAGTGTGACTGATAAATGTTGCAACACGCTCTGCAGGGGGAAATGCTTTAGCCTGTATTACTGCATTATAATCTCATCTTTGGAAAGCCAGGAGCATTTTGAAAGTTACATTACAGACATTGTTTAAACATAGTTTGGATTTACCAAAGCATAGGACATTGTCTTGTCTGATAATAATTAGTCGGCTCAAGATTAGTGCTAAAGACTTAGTAATTTATTTCTCTTAGCTTTAAAACCTTTATTTCAGAACTATTTCACCTCTTGGTTTTCTGTTTTTGCACCGTGTCCCTGCGGCTGCTAATCTGTGAGCTCCCAATGGATGATGTATCCTAGCAAGCGACTGAATGAGATATTAGTGGCAAATAATGTTGATGATTCATATTTTGAATAAATGGAACATTGAGCTTGTATACATTTTGAAAATAGTACTTTAATATTCCACTGTGTCATAGTCACAATGATTGGATGTGAATTGAATTTTTGTACTTTTTAAATACGTTTTTCTTCTTTATTTTTAATTTTTATTATTAATTTTTTGAGACAGAGTCTCGCTCTGTCACCTAGACTGAAGTGCAGTGGCCCGATCTTGGCTCCCAGCAACCTCCACCTCCCGGGTTAAGTGATTCTTCTGCCTCAGCCTCCCGAGTAGCTGGGACTACAGGCGCCCACCACCACGCCCAGCTAATTGTTGTATTTTTAGTAGAGATGGGGTTTCACTGTGTTGGCCAGGCTGGAATCAAACTCCTGACCTCCGGTGATCCGCCTGCCTCAACCTCCCAAAGTGCTGGGATTACAGGCATGAGCCACTGCGCTTGGCCTGTTCTTTAGCATTCTAAGTTGCAACTATATATCCGTAAAGTCTTATTTCCACACAATTAAGACATGTTTTAGGAAGTATGTTAAAAGACCCCTGGAGACCTCTTTATCGTGGGCTCCCTTTTGCCATGTTTAATTCACTTGATCTTTTCTGCCCACCTGCTTTTCAGAAATTGAAAGGCTAAAAAGAGGCGCTAAATGTTAAAACTTCTCTTCTATTCTCCCATGACACTATTAAAAGTAATGGCAAAAGCCACAGTTACTTTTGCACCAACCTCATAATTCTAAGAACCACCAGAAAAAAAGGGAAAGGTCTTTGGAAAGCAGTAAAATGATATGGACAGTTGGGATGTAAAAATGTAGAAAATATGTCATTGTATGTTCGGTCAGCCCAAGACCCTCGTGCTGCCCCGATGGCAGGGACTTCTTAATGGGAATTAACTTTTGCTCAATTTTCAGAGAAATGGAATGCTCGCATCACTGATCTACGTAAACAAGTTGAAGAATTGTTTGAAAGGAAATATGGTATGTCTAAACAGGAAAATTCCTGTAATGCTTTGTTCATGAGCATTTACACAATGGCGTTACTGTTCTCCATGGGGGTGATGTGGACAAGCCCAGCCCAGGGCTGCCAGTGAACCGTGCCACACTGACTTACACGTCTCTCATTGTAAGGTCCTTAGCGGTGTCTGTCTAAATATTAGAAACAGTCTTTGTTTCTAGATTACAGTAGAGATAAGGAAAAGTTGTATTTCTGTAGTTATCAGCTAACATTTCTTTTAAACTTTCAGCATGGATATTTGGGAATGGATTTACGTATTACAAAGCTCTGGATCTTGGGGATTTCATTAAAAATTATTTTTTTAATTGATAGTTTCTCTTAATCTACTGTGTTAAATCCAGTATTCGCTGAGATCCCCCTATTGTCTCTACTTTTACCTTTTTTTTTTTTTTTTTTGAGACAGTCTCTGCAGTGCAGTGGTGCGATCTTGGCTCACTGCAACCTCCACCTCCCGGTTTCAAGCAATTCTCCTGCCTCAGTCACGCAAGTAGCTGGGACTACAGGTGCCTGCCATCATGCCCTGCTAATTTTTATATTTTTAGTAGGGGTGAGGTTTCACCGTGTTGGTCAGGCTACTCTCAAACTCCTGACCTCAAGTGATCCTCCCGCCTCGGCCTGCCAAAGTGCTGGCATTACAGGCATGAGCCACCATCCTGGCCACTGCTTTTATCTTGATGTATAACTGAGTTGATGCTAGATTTCAGTTCCTTCTTTGTCCTTTTACTATTCTATCCTACAGCCACCTTTATATAATGATGAAAGAAATTCGCAATTTATCATTTTTATTTTTTTACAAAATATTTAAAATGATTTAAAAATAAGTCATTTTATTTTTATCATATTTGTTATTTTATTATCATCTGTTAATATCATTTTTATTTGGATGACAACTTTGCCATTAACTAGCAAGCTGTAAAATTGTATGATTGCAGTTTTAACTGAATTGCTATAAGTGAAAATTTAAACACAGTAAGCCATATTGATGGTATTTGTGTTAATAAATTTAAAATGAGCATTTTTTCTTCATCATGAGTAATATGACCTACCCCTCAATGAAAAGCTAGAATTAGAGTAAATTTGCTAATGAATTCAACAAATTTTCCATATTTTTAGCGATTTACTTCAGGTTCTCTTAGTGTTTCTCCCAGTTTTTAATAGCTTACACCTTTTTTGCCCCCTTTTTTGGTTTTGTTTTTTTGTTTTGTTTTTTTTTGAGATAAGAGTTTCCCTCTTGTCACCTAGTCTGGAGTGGCGCGATCTCGGCTCACTGCAACCTCTGCCTCCCAGGTTCAAGCAATTCTCCTGTCTGAGCCTCCTGAGTAGTTGAGATTACAGGTGCCCGCCACCATGCCTAGCTGATTTTTGTATTTTTAGTAGTGACGGGGTTTCACCATGTTGGCCAGGCTGGTCTCAAACTCCTGACCTCAGGTGATCTACCCACCTCGGCCTCCCAGAGTGCTGGGATTACAGGCATGAACCACTGCGCCCAGCCCCGTGTTCTTTATTGGTTCATTCTGAAGCAAAAACCTCATAGCATGTGCTACCTGGAAGCAATGTAACCTAGTGGTAAGATCATAGGCTCTAGGGGGGGTCGGGCGCAGTGGTTCATGCCTGTAATCCCAGTACTTTGGGAGGCTGAGGCGGGCGGATCACGAGGTCAGGAGATTGAGACCATCCTGGCTAACACGGTGAAACCTCGTCTCTACCAAAAATAGAAATTAGCCGGGCGTGGTGGCGGGCGCCTGTAGTCCCAGCTACTTGGGAGGCTGAGGCGGGAGAATGGCGTGAACCCGGGAGGCGGAGCTTGCAGTGAGCCGAGATCACACCACTGCAAATGTACTATATCAGTTTCATAAATGTCAGTGCTTTTCATGAAATCAAACAGGTTATGTTGTGGGGCTTTTGTTGTGATGGTGATTTATTAGATTATTTTGTATACAAGACAATAAATAATGTTCACCAACTGTTGTGAAATTATAGAAACATCTTCACATTGTATAATTTCAAAGCAATATTAATGGTAATTGCCTTAGGGAGTGATATTTTCATTGTGACATATAAATACGATATTCAAGTTTAGTGTACAACAGAGGATATTGACTCTAACTCAATGCTAATGTGTAATATGGTACATTTGAAGTTTCAGTACAAAGATTAATGTTTAGCAAATAGACTTTTACACACAATTATGGCAAAAAAAAATGGAGCTTTTCTGATGGGAGTGCACATGTTGTGTTTGATTTTAATACTCCCCATACTCTTGACTGTTTATAGCTGTTGTATTATTTTACTGTTGGGTAAATAAATGTTAGCAGAGATGTTGTAGTTCAGGAGAATCTTCTGCTTCTGTTATTTATTTATTTATTTATATTTATTATTTGAGACGGAGTCTTGCTCTGTCACCCAGGCTGGAGTGCAACGGCATGATCTCAGCTCACTGCAACATCTGCTTCACAGGTTCAAGCGATTCTCCTGCCTCAGCCTCCCGAGTAGCTGGGATTACAGGCGCCCACCATCATGCCCAACTAATTTTCGTATTTTTTGTACAGACAGGGTTTCACCATGTTGGTCAGGCTGGTCTTGAACTCCTGACCTCAGGTGATTGACCTACTTCGGCCTCCCAAAGTGCTGGGATGACACTCATGAGCCACTGTGACCAGCCTGCTTCTGTTATTTAACAGAAATTATTTTTATAAGTCCAGTAAGGTTACACTGATGTTTATGTTTTTAAAATACTGCTTCTTCCATTTAGTACTATACGTATTAAATGATATTACCTGGTGTGTTTTTCTGGCTTTGTAATATGGTTCAGATTTCTGTAGAAAGTCTGGCTGTATTCACATTGCCTTAAAGTAATGGGATATTTCACTGCAGGCTTTGATAAACAGAATATTAGAATTTTTGGTGTTCTTTCTATTACCCTCATAGTATTTTTCTTCTGATTCAATCACAATAACAAGTAAAGATCAAATTATAAAAGTTAAAGAGCAATACAGATTCAATGATTTATTATTCTTTTCTACAAATCGTGTTTAAATGGTATCTCCTTCTCTTTTTGTCCTTATAGCTCAAGCCATAAAAGCCAAAGGTCCGGTGACGATCCCATACCCTCTTTTCCAGTCTCATGTTGAAGACCTTTATGTAGAAGGACTTCCTGAAGGAATTCCTTTTAGAAGGCCATCTACTTATGGAATTCCTCGCCTTGAGAGGATATTACTTGCAAAGGAAAGGATTCGTTTTGTGATTAAGAAGTAAGACTCTTGTTTCTTTTCTGAGTAATACGTCTTTTTTATTGTTGACAAATATTCATTCACCACTAGGGTTCTATGTGATAAAGTTTGAGTTATTTTGTGTATTTTTATCTTCTCCTTTTTAGCTGATGTGGGTCCAACATTGCATCAGTCATCCAGGGTTGGCATTTGAAGCATGAACAGTGCCCGCACTGGACTGGCATGCAACTGACATTTTCTTTCACAATTTTCTGCTACTTTTGCTAAAGAACATAGAATCCACGCCTTTTTTTTAGGCCTGAGATTTTTTTTTTTTTTTTTTTTTTTTTCCTGAGATGGAGTCTCACACTGGAACCCAGGCTTGAGTGCAGTATCGTGATCTCGGCTCACTGTAACCTCTACCTCCCAGGTTCAAGCGATTCTCGTGCCTCAGACTCCCCAGTAGCTGAGATTACAGGCGTGCGCCACCACGCCTGGCTAATTTTTGTATTTTTAGTAGAGATGGTGTTTCACCATGTTGGTGAGGCTGGTCTTGAACTCCTGACCTCAGATAATCTGCCCACCTCGCCCTCATAGGCCTGAGATTTTTAAAGCATGTGTGGGAATATATGATTGTTTATATAGATATGTGGAGGAAGATGGTCTTGAATGCAATGTGACATTAAAGGATCCCATTTAAGATTTTTGTAATATGCTTCAAAGAGCTGTGGGTTGCAAAGTTATGTCTTTACTTGTGAGGATACCTGCTCCATGAAGCATCTTATTAGACAATTTGCAATTATTATTTTGCATTTTACTCTGTAGAAACCTCAAATTAAGCTTTAGTTGTGGGCTGGGTGTGGTGGCTCACAACTGTAATCCCAGCACTTTGGGAGGCCAGGGCGGGTGGATCACCTGAGGTCAGGAGTTCGAGACCAGCCAGGTCAACAATGGCAAAACCTCATTTCCACTAAAAATACAAAAATCAGCCAGGCATGGTGGCGGGCACCTGGAGTCCCAGCTACTTGGGAGGCTGAAGCAGGAGGATTGTTTGAACCCGGGAGGTGGAGGTTGCAGTGAGTCGAGACCCCACCATTGCGCTCCAGCCTGGGAACAAGAGCAAAACGCCGTCTCAGGCAAAAAAAAAAAAAAAAAGATTTAGTTGTGCTCAAGCATCCAGATTATCTTTTCTTTTCAAAACCAGCCTTGCTGACTAAATGTTAAATATGTACTAGTGGTTATTAGTTTGCTGAATATTGCCTAGTGAATATTGAGTATTTATTCTCACCTTTCAGACATGAGCTTCTGAATTCAACACGTGAAGATTTACAGCTTGATAAACCAGCTTCAGGAGGTCGGTCTTCAATCTCAAGGCAGATCAGAAGATTATGTGCAATAATTATTTCACGCTTGACATTGATTTCTTCTTTATGTTACCTTCCATATGAAATAATATGTCTCTAACTATTAATTATGTGCCATTACAGGAGAATTCATGTTGTCAAAATTCTGTCTAATAATTTCTAGAAGAATAGTGCATCTTTTTATTAACCCATTGTAAATACATGTAAATATTGCATTTATGGGTAGACAGAAGTAAAAGAAGAATATGTGTTCTATTTTTTTTTTTTTTTGTCTGAGACGGAGTCTCGCTCTGAGGCCCAGGCTGGAGTGCAGTGGCCAGATCTCAGCTCACTGCAAGCTCCGCCAACCGGGTTCACGCCATTCTCCTGCCTCAACCTCCCGAGTAGCTGGGACTACAGGCGCCCGCCACCTCGCCCGGCTAGTTTTTTGTATTTTTTAGTAGAGACGGGGTTTCACCGTGTCAGCCAGGATGGTCTCGATCTCCTGACCTCGTGATCCACCCATCTCGGCCTCCCAAAGTGCTGGGATTACAGACTTGAGCCACTGCGCCCAGCCATGTGTTCTACTTTTGATGCAAGATTTATCTGGCATAATGCATTGAACAGTTTATTATTGAAGTCTACACGAGTCAATGGAACAAGCATTCACTGAATGTCCATGATGGACAGGACATAAGGTTTCCTTTTAGAGCATGGAGCCATTTATATCATCTCTTGATTGTCAGATGTATTTGGTTTTGTTTTGTTTTTTGAGACAGAGTCTTGCTCTGTCACCCAGGCTGGGGTGCAGTGGTGTAATCTCAGCTCACTGCAACCTCCCGCCTCCTGGGTTCAAGTGATTCTCCCGCTTCAGCTTCCTGAGTAGCTGGGATTATAGGTGCCCGCCACCACGCCCAGCTAATTTTTGTATTTTTAGTAGAGACAGGGTTTCACCATGTTGGCCAGGCTGATCTCGAACTCCTGACCTCAGGTGATCTGCTCGCCTCAGCCTCCCAGGATTACAGGCATGAGCCACCGTGCCCAGCCTGTTAGATGTGTTTTAAAAGAAATAGAAATAGAATTGATTTTCTTGCGTGCTTTTGCTCTGGAGTGGAGTGGAGTGGGGACAAAACAGAATGGAATCACACTGTTGATATTTAGTAAGATGGAAGGATTTCAGCAAGATCATCTCTCTAATCTTCCTGTAGCAAGTGTTACCTGCTAGCTGTTCCTGAATACACTTGAGTTTTGCTTTTTCCTAGCTTTAATGGATGTTCCGTTCTTCCTCTTTTGTACAGTGTCAGCATTGTTTTAGGAATAAATACATTCTAGAATCTTAAGAATAATTAAGAATAATTTTATTATTATGCTGTCTTTTTTGTTTGTTTCTTTTAAAGATAGAGTCTCACTCTGTTGCCCAGGCTGGAGTACAATGGTGCGATCTCAGCTCACTGCAACCTCTGCCTTCTGGGTTCAAGTGATTCTCCTGCCTCAGCCTCCCAAGTAGCTGGGATTACAGGTGCTTGCCGTCACGCCTGGCTAATTTTTGTATTTTTAGTAGAGATGGGGTTTCACCATGTTGGCCAGGCTGGTCTCGAACTCCTGACCTCAAGTGACCCGCCTGCCTCAGCTTCCCAAAGTGTTGGGATTACATGCATGAGCCATCACGCCTGGCCACAAATCTTAGAAATAATTTTAGTCACAGGAAAAGGAAAAGTTATACCTCTTATTTTATAGTAATAATATTTAATATTCAAAGTTAGTAAACCCATTAAATTGAGAAAACTTGTATTACTGTTATTTTGACAGTAAAGGAAGAATGGTATGCCAGAATCACTAAATTAAGAAAGATGGTGGATCAACTTTTCTGCAAAAAATTTGGTAAGTCTGTTTTTTTAAATTACCACTTCAACTAAAATGTATTACTGAGTAATGCTTTTTAAAATGTTGTTTTATTTTAGGAAAGTAAATACAGTGAATAGGACTCAGCTCTAGTATTCTCTGTTTTTTGTTTTGTTTTTTTTTGGTGAGGGAGTCTGGCTTTGTTGCCCAGGCTGGAGTGTAATAGTGCTATCTCAGCTCACTGCAGCCTCCTCCTGGGTTCAAGTAATTCTCCTGCCTCAGCTTCCCAAGTAGCTAGGATTACAGGTGCCCGCCACCACGCCTGGCTAACTTTTGTATTTTTAGTAGAGATGGGGTTTCACCATGTTGGCCAGGCTGGTCTCAAACTCCTGATCTCAGGTGATCCACCCGCCTCAGCCTCCCAAAGTGCTGGGATTACAGGCGTGAGCCACCGCACCCGGCCCCCATTCCATGAATTATTTGTGGGAAGTTATTTCCTTTAAAATGGCATGCTCATGAGTTTGAAGGGGTAAAGAACATTGATCTGGCTGCCATGCAGATGAAACTGTAGTCTGAAATGTGCCAGTCTGCCGCAGCCGATGGAGGAGGGTAATTACGGTCCTGAACAGTTAGTAGCAAAAGGCTGCTTCCAGGTAGTATTTAGGTTGTGTCCTCTATTGTCCATGATGATTTTCTTTCTCTTTTCTTCCTAAGGATGTTGAAAAACAAAGTTTCATCTTTTAACGATCTCAGAGCTATTAAGATTGTCTTAGGACCAGGACACTTAAATCTGCCAAAATCTGGCTGTTGATGATCTGTCATCTCTACTTGTCTTTGCTGCATTAGTGTATTCAATAGTTAATAAATATGTTTCTAGAAAGAGTTTTTTTCAGTTAAAACAAAACGGACCTGTGCCTTTTTTTGGATTGTGCTAAAATCTGATTTCCATACAAATGTAGTCTCCTGAATTGCTTTGATTTTTGTCCAGCGGAAGCCTTGGGGAGCACTGAAGCCAAGGCTGTACCGTACCAAAAATTTGAGGCCCACCCGAATGATCTGTATGTGGAAGGACTGCCAGAAAACATTCCTTTCAGAAGTCCCTCATGGTATGGAATCCCAAGGCTGGAAAAAATCATTCAAGTGGGCAATCGAATTAAATTTGTTATTAAAAGGTAAGAAATAGTTTACCTTTTAATCTGCAGAAATAGTTTCGGTGTCTTCCCTGAGAAGAGGTTAATTTGATGAAGAAGGGCCTTTTGTTTACCGTATCATGACTTCTTTATATTGACAATGAAGGCATTAATATTTAGATTCACTTAGTGAACCAATATTTATTAGTATAAGCATCAGATGTGCAAAATTGGGTCTAACAAGAACGCTGTCATTGGGGCCTTCATACAAAGAAATATGCACTGAAGGCTGGGCGCAGCGGCTTACGCCTGTAATCCCAGCACTTTGGGAGGCTGAGGTGGGTGGATCACTTGAGGTTAGGAGATCGAGACCATCCTGGCTAACACAGTGAAACCCCTTTTCTACTAAAAATACAAAAAAAATTAGCCAGGCGTGGCGGCGGGTGCCTGTAGCCCCAGCTACTCAGGAAGCTGAGGTAGGAGAATGGCGTGAACCCGGGAGGTGGAGGTTGCAGTGAGCTAAGATGGTGCCACTGCACTCCAGCCTGAGGGACAGAGCGAGACTCCGTCTCCAAAAAAAAAAAAAACCTAGCCTGGCCAACATGATAAAGCCCCATCTCTAGTAAAAATACAGAAATTAGCTGGACGCAGTGGCGCAAGCCTGTAGTCCCAGCTACTCGGGAGGCTGAGGTTGGAGAATCGCTTGAACCTCGGAGGCAGAGGTTGCAGTGAGCCAAGATTGTGCCACTGTACTCCAGCCTGGGCAACAGAGCGAGACTCCATCTCAAAAAAAGAAAAATAGAATGAAGTGTTATTGAGCATCTTTAGGGGAGAAGGCGAGGATGGCACACCCAGCTCGGTCACTTGTGCATCCGGAAGGACGGATGGTGTTTCAAGTGAAGGAAATCATATGAGTAGGGGCAGGAGGTGGCGAATATGCCCACATAGCCACATAACTCCCCCATTGTGTGTGGAGTGAGGAGTGCCACGTGGGCGTGATGGGATTGCGTGGATCGGCTTGGGTGGGCAAGTAGAGGAAGGCCTCAGATCCTACGAAAGCAGAGGCAGTCACGAAATGGTCTCGAAGCAGATCCCTCTGAAAATAATTTGGATCCACCCGTTAGAAAGGTAATTCTGGCTTGATTTTGAAGGGCAACACAGTGGGTAGTTTGGGGGCGGGAGTAGGAACAGAAGGCCTCTCTCCACTCATTGAAGGGATGTGGAAGGGTAAACCTTGCTTACTGATTGGGGCTGTGCCTCTGTGTGTTTGCTGGGACTGAGTTATAAGGGATAGGAAACGTTTAAGATGCTATAGCAAGCTGCTTCTGGCTGTGCTAGACAGTTCGTCTAAGATTCAGAAACAGAACTGAGCTGGTTTGGGGGGAAAGTGACTGTCACCTGTTTATCTTAAATATAAGATGACTTTGAAGGTCTCACCCGAATATCTGAAAATTGCCATTTTCAAAATAAACTCAAGTCACAGAAGTGATTTTTTCTCACTATAAAATGAAGGCAGAATGCACCATATTTAAAACGAACTGGCAATGCACAGCTGTGTGAGAAAGGCCCGTGAGTTTCTTCCAAATGCTTTATTACTAATATCAACTCTGTTTTTACAGACCAGAACTTCTGACTCACAGTACCACTGAAGTTACTCAGCCGAGAACGAATACACCAGGTAAACTAGTTGTGAAATCCTTTTTTAAAAACACAGATCAGCCGGGCGCGGTGGCTCACGCCTGTAATCCCAGCACTTCAGGAGGCTGAGGTGGGCGGATCACGAGGTCAGGAGATCGAGACCATCCTGGCTAACACGGTGAAACCCCGTGTCTACTTAACATACAAAAAAATTAGCCGGACATGGTGGTGGTCGCCTGTAGTCCCAGCTACCCAGGAGGCTGAGGCAGGAGAATGGCGTGAACCCGGGAGGCAGAGCTTGCAGTGAGCCGAGATCGTGCCACTGTACTCCAGCCTGGGCAACAGAGCGAGACTCTCTCAGAAAAAAAAACAAGCACACATCAATACTTTTTAAGCTTTTAAAAGTTCATCTTTTAAAATTATGGAAGTCTTCCTTTCCCCGCCTCCCCAAAAAATGGTCTGCAGAAGCTCAGTCCGGGCATTCCTTGATTTATCAATGTGAACACCTGCAGTGCGCGGATAACTCAAGCTTTGACCACAGACCACTGCTGTCCACGAGAAAGACAGTGTGCCCCACAAATGCAAGCCACGCATGTAATCGCCCATGTTCTAGTTCAGCCTGTAATCATTATAAAGAAATACACGAGGAAGTATTTCACGGTCTTTATTTCATGTTCTTTATTTAACAGTTGGCACGTCTTTCATACTCACAGCATATTTCAGTTCCAAGTAGCCACATTTCAGACACTTCAACTGCCCGGGGATAGTACCTACTATATACATTTAGACCTTAATGTTTATTCGTGTGTATCCTGTTCCTAAAATGGCAAAGACTGTAACTCTGACCTGCACACAAATATCACAGCCTAATAGGAAAGATTTAAGAAGTCTGTTCAATGAATGATGTTATTTTCTTTATTAGAGCTCTAAGTGTGCCTTTATTTCTTTCCTTTTTTTTTTTTTTTTTGAGATGGAGTCTCACTCTGTTGCCCAGGCTGGAGTGCAGTGGTGTGATCTCAGCTTATTGGGGCCTCCACCTCCTGGGTTCAAGCAATTCTGCTTCATCCTCCCATGTAGCTGGGACTATAGTCGCAAGCCACCACACCTGGCTAATTTTTGTATCTTTAGTAGAGATGGGGTTTCACCGTGTTGGCCCGGCTGGTCTCAAACTCCTGACCTCAGGTGATCCACCTGCCCTGGCCTCCCAAAGTGTTGGAATTACAGGCGTGAGCCACTGCACCTGACCTCTGTCTTTTTGTTTGCCATTGTGTAATGTCAGAGTAAGTGACCACAATTTGTAGATCATCAACCACCTTAGGACCTTCTGTTGTCAAGAACCCATAAATGGCTATACCCTGGAGTGTGAAGGTTTCTGTTGTCAGGAAGTAAGTGTTTGGAATCAAGTATGAAATTTTTGTGTGTATCAGGTGTTTACAGATTTGTACAGTTAAACATGCTCATGAATACTAAGGCGAACAAATGTTTCAAGTTGGGTTCATGGCTGTGCCCTAAAATACGGCTCCTTGAGCTCTCACAGTACCTCGTGGCCATTAGTGAAGGTCAGTCAGTGTGCCAAATAGATGTTGTGTGGATTATGGCATGGAAAGTGGCTGAGAAATTCTGTAGTAGGGTCACAAAATTATCTTGGTCCAGGAGTCCTGCAGTGGAGAAGATAAAAGTCAATGCTTAACTCATAGGTTCACCTCGGCATGCTTTTGATTTGGTCAAGGAATCAAAGTATTGGTGAAGAATTGAAGATTGGAAGTGACACATTTTTTGCTCAGGGAAGTAATGGAGAAAGAAAAATCTTCCTGGAGGTAGATCTTCAGTTTGGATTAATCGGAACGTGATGAAACCTGTAGAAACCCTCATTTCTCAAGACAAAGCTCAAATTCAAGGTTGTGAGGAGTGCAGTCACTGCTTTTGTCAGGGGCGGTTTTGACAGTGACTGCAAAAACTGAGAATGTGAAGCCTGTATTATATAAAGAATGTGCAAGCACCACAGAAGTCACTGCAAGGATTGGGTACCGGAGCAGTGCCGGACCGCCATCGTCACCAGATTGCAGCAGCCGTCACCAGAAGGAGAATCTCCACTCTCGCCATCACTAACAGCACTTGACTTTGTCCCATTCATAAAAAATCTTGGAAGGAATTAGAGGTGCTTAGTGGTTCCTCATTCCAACACCTTACTTGGCCTGCCTGTGTGGAACATGCATTATGAGTCTTTGGATAGGACAATTCAAGTCACAGACCACATGACAAAAGAATTTTGTGGCCATCGGAATTGTCTGCTTAAACCCACCATAGGTGCACATTGTCCTCAGCTTGGTGAAAGGGAGATATCACACACAAGAAGACAGTGGAGCCAGGCACATGATGGAGTGGGAGGTGGCACCTGGCTCTGTGAGGAGGCCATGAAGTCCTGCATGGGAGGAGCAAGGTGGGGAGTGGGGAGCAGGGTAGAAGAGGAGGCTGAGCAGGTAATAGAGGCGCTCGACCTTTGCAGAGGAAGAGTCCGAGGTCTTTATTGGTGGTATTCAAATGTGGTTCATACCAGAGGTATTTTCTGTGGCTGAATGGACTACTCTGAAATCCACAGGGAAAAAACAACTCACATTCAACCCTTGAGATGCTAAGTTTTCTTTTAAAGTAAAGGAAATGCTGCAAGATTTTCTGAAACCACCAGCCTTTAGCGATAACGTCAGACCTTCTCCAACATTTTCCAGCAGTTTGTCAGCAATCAGAGATGACCTCCACACCGAGACGAACCCTCCACCCCCCCGACCCCTTTCCTCTTTCTCTCTTTCCCTCCTTTCCTTATCCAGGAACACTCCAGTCAAACTGCAGTGTCTCCAAGTTGACCTCCGTCCTCATCCACACCTGAACATTCTGTCCACATCAGCGATATTCTACATGTCTTTATAATAACTTTTTTAAAAAAAATTTTCACGTTTAAAAGGTAAAGGTTGTCTTCTGGGTGGGAAAACACGCCCCACTGTCACTGTGGGTGATGCTGAGTGACATCTCCTAGGTCTTTTACCATTGCTTTCTTTTTTTTTTTTTTTTTTTTGAAGTGGTGTTTCCTTTTATGTCCATTGCTTTAAGCCATTTGTGAAATTACAGTGATTTCTGGGGCGGGGACAGAGGGAAGGCGGTGGTAAAAGTCAGTGGTGCTGTGGCCCGGTTAGGTGGAGGAGGTTTGGGGCAGGGCGGCCTTCACTGGGGCACCTGGAGGAGCACGGACGGCCCTGCGGGCAGGTGGGTGAGTTCTGAGAGCTGGAGGGCTGGTATGTAGCGTCCTCCATGGTTCCAGCTTGTGGCCTTGATCAGGCCGTCACCTGCAGTGGCCACTGAGCTGGTGATGAACTCTGCTGCCCTAGAGTTGCCCTTGGCAGAGACGATGGCCGCCGCCCTCTGCTGCTCAGCCTTTGCCACCACGGATCTGGCCCTTTCCTTCCTGCTGAGCCACCTCTTTGGTTCCACTGCTTCTACCAACTCCTTCCTGAAGGTCAGATCCAAGGTCATAGCATCCAGGAGGAGCCTGAAGGTTGCTGCTTGCTCCAAAGTCTGAAGGTCAGATCCAAGGTCACAACATCCAGGAGGAGCCCAAAGGTTGCTGCTTGCTCCGAAGTGAATTGCTCACGTATCTGGAGCCCAGCTCTCCCTGCGTGATCAGTTCTCCGGCGTCAGCCCAAGCCACCCCCGGCTTGAGGAGCTCTGCGGTGATGGACGGCAGCACACTCTCATTGGCTTCTCCGATAATTGGAAGATGGGAGAACCTGGCCGGCAACAGGCGGGAAGAGGACGCCCAGTGTGATGGTGACAATCTTTGCTCACGGTGATGACTGACGCCTTATGTGTTCAAGAGCAGCAGTCAAAGATAATTGGCTTCTTTTCCCATGGGATGAGAAAGTGAGTTCCTTCCCCTATCACAGTGTCCTGAATGCCATGGAACTGGTCGAAGGTGACAGACAGCTCTCCGTCCAGCACCACATCGTAGAAGGCAGAGTTCCTCACGCCTCCTGCAGCAGCAGCTAAGGCCAGGCCAGACTTGGCAGCTGTGTTTCCGTCTGCTGGACCCGCTCAGGCCTCCGTCCACTCCGGCCCCACATGAATTCCACCCCTTTATCATTGATTTCTGATGAGAAAAGTCACTTTGATTAGTGAAGTGTTGCTTTATGTGGATTTTTAGGCACACATCTGTTAGATAAAACAAGGATTGCCTGTAGAGAAAGCAAATAAAAGCAAAGTCCCTCCTGTTGAAACTGGTGTGGGAGCCCTTGAACCTTACGCAGCTGGCCTCCCTGCCCTGACCAAGTTCGCTGAGGGACTTCTCCAAGGAGGAATGTGTTAGAAGCACTGATTTTGAGCACTCTTTCATGTGGACAAATTTCACTTTATTTGCAATGTCAACTTAAATTTAAATTCTGTCTTTCTAGGCCGGGCACGGTGGCTCATGCCCGTAATCCCAGCACTTTGGGAGGCCGAGGTGGGCGGATCACTTGAGGTCAGGCGTTCAAGACCAGCTTAGCCAACATGATGAAACCCCATCTCTACTAAAAATACAAAAATTAGCCTGGTGTGGTGGCAGGCACCTGTAATCCCAGCTACCGGGGAGGCTGAGGCAGGAGAATCGCTTGAACCCAGGAGGCGGAGGTTGCAGTGAGCCGAGATCACACCACCACACTCCAGCCTGAGCGTCGTAGTGAGACTGTGTCTCTAAATAAATAAATAAATTCTGTCTTTCTGCAGTTTTTCTGATATTTGGCAAGTACCGGAAATTATTCTTTTCCTTAAGGCCCCAAATTTTGGCTTTTAACAAAACTGAGTTAAGAGAATCACTGCAAACAAGGGTACGTTCTAGCGAAATCCATTCTGATTTGCCACAGCACTGATAAATAACACAGTTAATTGGGTTTCTTTTTGTTTTCCAGTCAAAGAAGATTGGAATGTCAGAATTACCAAGCTACGGAAGCAAGTGGAAGAGATTTTTAATTTGAAATTTGGTAAGTAAAAGCCAATATTTATGTCTTTAATAACATATCAACAAAGGGCCATGTCTGAATAGAGGTATGGAAGTTCAGGACCAACCGGGTGCGATGGCTCACGCCTGTAATCCCAGCACTTGGGAGCCCGAGGTGGCCAGATTGGGAGGTCAGGAGATCGAGACCATCCTGGCTAACACGATGAAACCCCATCTCTACTAAAAATACAAGAACATTAGCTGGGCGTGGTGGCGGGCGCCTGTAGTCCCAGCTACTCAGGAGGCTGAGGCAGAATGGCGTGAACCGGGGAGGCTGAACTTGAGCAGTGAGCCGAGATCACGCCACTGCACTCCAGCCTGGGTGACAGAGCGAGATTCTGTCTCAAAAAAAGTTCAGGACCTAAAGAAGGAAGGTCCCAGAAACCGGGTTTCTGTTTCTTTCTACCACTGCACCTGCTACTGAAACCAAGCAGATGACTTCATTTTTCTCGGATTCCGCTTTCTCACGTGTCAGAATGGGAGAGGAAGGGAGGCGTTGGGATAAGTCTCAGTTCCACTGTTTGTACTTCTCATCTGGCTAACACCCATGTGGCAAATAGGTTTCATCATTTGTTTCAGCTTAGATTTGTTGACAGCGGTTTCCTGGAGTGCTGTCTTGAGAACGATTCTGAGGAGGCTCAGCAAGAAAGTGTTTCAGTTGATTGGGTGTGTCTGTCATGGAGAAGGAAGTAAGGAGTGGGCAGTGCTAGCAATATTCCCGGGGCACTCCTATCCATTATCTCAATACCTGGGGTTGACGTTTCCTGTCCCAGATCAGGAGTCCTGACTACCCTGCCTCTGACCACTCGAACTGAGGCTTAGCTGTATCGTAGACGCCACCCGTTTGAACAGACACCCTGCTTCTCGATGATAACACAAAGACCAGCAGGGGCCACTGCTGTGTGGAACGGCCTTCGGTCATTTCTGCCCAGAGCACAGAGGTCATTTTCACTAATAAGTAACTCTCCTTTTGATTGAAAGTGTTAAAATATTCCTCCTAAAAGCACTTATTTTTTAGGCTCGTTCTTCAGATTTGCCCCATATCCTAAGCAAAATGCCTTCAATATGAAGTGGATATTGCTTGATCATAGGGAGCTTGTCCATACTGTACTCGAGAATGTAGATGCAAAGAAAAGAATGTCCGTGTCAAATGTTATCCTCCCCAACTTATGTTCTCTTGCGCTTTCAGCTCAAGCTCTGGGACTCACCGAGGCAGTGAAAGTACCGTATCCCGTGTTTGAATCAAACCCCGAGTTCTTGTATGTGGAAGGCTTGCCAGAGGGGATTCCCTTCCGAAGCCCTACCTGGTTTGGAATTCCACGACTTGAAAGGATCGTCCGCGGGAGTAATAAAATCAAATTCGTTGTTAAAAAGTAAGTTATTTTGCCACTGTAGTCGTTTCTGGAATTAAAACAGTAAAATGACACTTCCGTTACAATGTTTTTCAAGCTGGAGGTGACAGGCGTGGCTGTTAAGTCCTTGATGGCAAAGCCTGGCTGTGAGCTGCAGTCCTGGTACTGTCCATGGCCTCTGCAGTCCCCCAGCCCATACTCAATCATCTTCATCAGTGCAAGGAAAATGGTGACGACGGCCTCCGCCGCGTCACTGCGAGGCCCCGTGGGGACTCACAGTATGCCTGAATGGAAGTTTAATTTGCTGGCTTTTATCTGCTCTGTTATTCCTGGTCAATCTTGAGAGCAACTAAGTGTCAATGATTGAGTTTTTTTCTCTCTTTTTTTTTTTTTTCTTTTGAGACGGAGTCTTGCTCTATCGCCCAGGCTGGAGTGCCGGGGGGCAATCTCGGCTCACTCAAGCTCCGCCTCCTGGGTTCAAGCAATTCCGTGCCTCAGCCTCCCAAGGACCTGGGATTACAGACTTGGGCTGCCACGCCTGGCTAATTTTTGTGTTTTTAGAATAGACAGAACTTCACCGTGTTGGCTAGACTGGTCTGGAATTCCTGACCTCAGGTAATCCACCCGCCTCAGCCTCCCAAAATGCTGGCATTACAGGCATGAGCCACCATGCCCGGCCTAATGATTGATTTTCTTATCTACATTTCTGCAGAATTTTAGTGGCTGAAGGAAGTACACTAGTTTTTTTTTTCTTTTTTCTTTTTTCTTTTTTTCATGAAAAGAGTCATTTATTTGCTCTTCATAAAATGGCTTTACTAGTCACGGGAAGGAAAAGTCAGGGTCTTTTGTCCACAACACTAGGAATTACTGTTGTGTTACAGGATGATCCTGTGAATGCCTTTAGAAAGCAAACAACCCTGGTCACATCACGACCGTTTTACTGGCTGTGAGACCACCACTGTACTGGCTTCTGTAACATTTCTTGGTTTTCTTTCTAGACCTGAACTAGTTATTTCCTACTTGCCTCCTGGGATGGCTAGTAAAATAAACACTAAAGGTAAGAGGCGACGTGTACTCCGTATCCTATTGGTGCGCATGAAGACACCCTTTATCCGCATTCCTTAAATCATATGGAATCGGCCGATATCTTTGTGGGGCTCGTAGTTGTTTACTTTGCTTTTTAAGGTATTTTGTTTTATTATTTATTTATTTATTTATTTATTTTTGAGACAAAATCTCGCTCTGTTGCCCAGGCTGGAGTGCAGTGGCGCAATCTCGGCTCACTGCAACCTCCGCCTCCCGGATTCAAGCCATTCTCCTGCCTCAGCCTCCTGAGTAGCCGGGATTACAGGCACGTGCCAACACGCCCGGCTAATTTTTATATTTTTAGTAGAGACGGGGTTTCAGCATGTTGGTCAGACTGGTCTCAAACTCCTGACCTCGTGATCCACCCACCTCGGCCTCCCAAAGTGCTGGGATTACAGGCATGAGCCACCACGCCCAACCTAAGGTATTTTATTTAATGGACTTATTTTTCTTTTTAAAAAAAAAAAAAAAAAAATTCATTGGAAATGTCACATTTGCAATCCTAGTTCATTTATGTTTTCACAACTTTGTTGAGCCCCTGTGGAGGATTACACTACAAGTTTAATTCTACAGGTTTCTTTGAAAAGAGCCAAACTGTATGAATTTTAATACTCTGCTCTTATAAAGCATCTCCTTCTGGCCAGGCACGGTGGCTCACGCCTGTAATCCCAGCACTTTGGGAGGCCGAGGTGGGCGGATCACAAGGTCAGGAGATCGAGACCATGGTGAAACCCCGTCTCTACTAAAAAATAGAAAAAAAAATTAGCCGGGCGCAGTGGCGGGCGCCTGTAGTCCCAGCTACTCGGGAGGCTGAGGTAGGAGAATGGCGTCAACCCCGGAGGCGGAGCTTGCAGTGAGCCGAGATTGCGCCACTGCACTCCAGCCTGGGCGACAGAGCGAGACTCCGTCTCAAAAAAAATAAAAAATAAAAAATAAAGCATCTCCTTCTGTATTTTTTTTCCCTACAATATACAAAAGGAAATCTGCTTATTTTACAGCTTTGCAGTCCCCCAAAAGACCACGAAGTCCTGGGAGTAATTCAAAGGTTCCCGAAATTGAGGTCACTGTGGAAGGTAAGGGCCAGTCCTTGGTATGTTTCTGTTCATTCTCTAGTTTACTGATTGTGTCACTTCACTAGCTGTGTGTTTATACGGATGACGTTAGCCAAACTAGCTTTACCTGTGAACAGCTGCCTGTGATAAAGCTACGTTTTTGAATGTTTCTCATTGAAAAATTTTAAACCATTAATAGAAAAAAGATAACATGGATCACATCATAAACTGCTCCCAAGAAAAGCCCTAAAATGCTTTTCCTTTATCATAACAAATAAGGGTGCAGAGTCACGTGGAATATTTTATCTTGTTTTTTCCTCTTCATTTTTTTTCTATTCTTTTAAGGAAAGAAAGTTTCGGGGTGGTTTAAACAGCAGTGCTTTGAATGAAAGTATTATCTTTTTCTTTTTCTTTTCTTTTTTTTTTTTTGAGACCGAGTCTCGCTGTCTTGCCCAGGGTGGAGTGCAGTGGCACAATCTCGGCTCACCACAGCCTCCACCTCCACCTCCCGGGTTCAAGTGATTCTCCTGCCCCAGCCTCCCAAGTAGCTAGGAGTACAGGTATCTACCACCAAGTCCGGCTAATTTTTATATCTTTAGTAGAGATGGAGTTTTACCATGTTGGCCAGGCTAGTCTCGAACCCCTGACCTCAGGTGAGCCACCACGCCCAACTGGTTCTCATCTTTTCAGGCTCACAGTGTTAAAATACTGCATACAATACTAAAGACAATCTCCAACCAACAGTCAAGTATGGATATTTCTTCCATCTCTTCATAAATGCAGAAGGAAATCACTGCATTAGGATCATTCTCTATATCCCAGGTGTCAAGTTTTTAAGTAAGAGTTTGCAGTACTGGTGTTGAGTGGCACAGAAGTCCCCATTTAGTCATCTGGTATCCTTTCAGAGAGCCTGCTTTCTCCTATGACAGCCAACAGGCATCCTTGGGCAACTTACACCCGATTAATTATTTCTGTTAAAAAATGCCAAGAATTAAAAACATATTGAACCCTTGACTTTCCTCCTTCTGGAAAAGATCAGAGGAAGATCTCTCTTATATACAAGATGCCAGCCTTTCCTGAAGGGCAGATCCAGGTTCACGGGACCTGGGAGGCTTTAAGAATATAAAATTAGGACCGAGCGCAGTCGCTCTCACGCCTGTAATGCCAGCACTTTGGGAGGCCGAGGCAGATGGATCACCTGAGGTTGGGAGATCAAGACCAGCCTGACCAACACGGAGAAACCCCATCTCTACTAAAAATACAAAATTATCTGGGTGTGGTGGCGCATGCCTGTAATCCCAGCTACTCAGGAGTCTGAGGCAAGAGAATTGGTTGAAAACAGGAGGCAGAGATTGTGGTGAGCCGAGATTGCGCCATTGCACTCCAGCCTGGGCAACAAGAGTGAAACTTTGTCTCAAAAAAAAAAGAAAGGAAAAGAAAAATGGGTTTCTGTGGAACTTGCAGGATGACAAGAATACCCATTTCAATTTGAACCTAGGTTTGTTTTCTGGCACAGGCTGGACTTGAAGGTCGTAACCTAGAGACACTTACGTCATTGAATGTGTGTTGATTATCATTATTTTTACTCTCCTTTAGGCCCTAATAACAACAATCCTCAAACCTCAGCTGTTCGAACCCCTACCCAGACTAATGGTTCTAACGTTCCCTTCAAGCCACGAGGGAGAGAGTTTTCCTTTGGTAAATATGCGTTTTATTTTTCTTTCTTTCATCGTTTTAAATAGAATAAGTTAATCATGTTTCCTTTTGCCAGGTGAATTGTTCTTATTGGTGAGTCAGTATATATCCGAGGTTAAAGGAATAGCCCATAGAGCCGGGCTGCCTGAGTTCAGATCTGAGTTCAAATCCGAAGCCACTTAGGCAGGCGAATGCACCCTGCCTCATTTTCCCTTTGTGCAAAATGGCAATAACATTACTTTCTTTCTCATGAGGTTATTATGAGGATTATAAATACTGTCATTTAAAGTGCTTAGAACCATGCCTCACATGTAGTAGACACTATAAGTTATGAAGGCATTTTGGGGGGTTTTCATTTGTTTTTTCTTTATTTCAATATTTGTTCACTTACTTGTAGTCAACATAAAAGCAATGTACTAAAACAGTTTGCTTATGTATCAGGACTGGAGTAGTTGTCAAGTCATATCGTAGTAAAAGATTATGCGTTTTTCATTTCTTCTTAAAGATGCACAAATAAGGCCGGGCGCGGTGGCTCACGCCTGTAATCCCAGTACTTTGGGAGGCCGAGGCGGGCGGATCACTTGAGGTTGGGAGTTCGACACCAGCCTGACCAACATGGAGAAACCCCGTGTCTACTAAAAATATAAAAGTAGCCGGGCATGGTGGCGCATGCCTGTAATCCCAGCTACTCGGGAGGCTGAGGCAGGAGAACTGCTTGAACCTGGGAGATGGAGGTTGCGGTGAGCAGAGATCACGCCATTGCACTCCAGCCTGGGTAACGAAAGCGAAACTCCGTCTCAAAAAAAAAAAACAAAACAAACAAAAAAAAAGATGCACAAATAAGATGAAACATTCCCGTCTCTGAGTGTGTATGGATGAGTACCGTGATAAGCATTGCAATTTAACTATCTTATGTTTTATATACAGAGGCCTGGAATGCCAAGATCACGGACCTAAAACAGAAAGTTGAAAATCTCTTCAATGAGAAGTGCGGTAAGTCTATTTTGAAACATTCTTACTGCAGCGCAGGGTGCCTTCATGGGAGCAGAAGGGAGCAGAGGGGGATACTGAGCATTGGAGTGTCCCAGTCATTGGCAACGCATGGGTTTTTCAGGCTTGAGTGGCGTCATCGCCCATGTTCTGTTCTGTGTACGCGGCTGTTTTGCAGGGGAAGCTCTTGGCCTTAAACAAGCCGTGAAGGTGCCGTTCGCATTATTTGAGTCTTTCCCAGAAGACTTTTACGTGGAAGGCTTACCTGAGGGTGTGCCATTCCGAAGACCATCGACTTTTGGCATTCCAAGGCTGGAGAAGATACTCAGAAACAAAGCTAAAATTAAATTCATCATTAAAAAGTAAGGAAATTGGATGAAGTGGGATTAGCATGAGTTGATCGTGTTTCACACTGGGAGATGGGTATGTGGGTTCATGTTTGTGGCAGGGCTGAATGAGCTCTGGAGTCAGAAAATCTCCTTTTTATGCTGCACTCTTGTTTATGTTTAAAACTTTCCGGCCAGGTGCGATGGCTCACGCCCGTAATCCCAGCATTTTGGGAGGCCAAAGCGGGTAGATTACCTGAGGTCAGAAGTTCAAGACCAACCTGGCCAACGTGATGAAACCCGTCTCTATTAAAAATACAAAAATCAGCTGGGCATGGTGGCACGTGCCTGTAATCCCAGCTGTTTGGGAGACTGAGGCAGGAGAATCACTGGAACCCGGCAGGCAGAGGTTGCAATGAGCCAAGATCGTGCCATTGCATTCCAGCCTGGGCAGCAAGAGCAAAACTCCATCTCAAAAAAAAAAAAAAAAAAAGAAAAGAAAAATTTTCCCTATGCTGCTACTAGAAGGGAAGGAGGACTCCTCTATACTGGAGAGATAACGACTTTTGGTTGCTGAATGTTGTTACTGCTTGATGCTGAGGAATCTCAGCCGCTGTTCAGTTTTCTAAAGTCCTTTTATTTCTCCAAATTAATAGAATATTTTAAATTTCTCCTGTTTGCTCAAAAATCTGTGGATTAGGCTAACATGATTGAAATAGATAGGAATGGGCCAGGCACGGCCATAAATCCCAGCACTGTGGGAGGCCAAGGCGGGCAAATCACTTGAGGTCAGGAGTTCGACACCAGCCTGGCCAACATGATGAAAACTCGTCTCTACTTAAAATACAAAAAGAAAAAAAAATTAGCCAGGTGTGGTAGCAGGCGCCAGCTACTTGAGAGACTGAGGCAGGAGAATCGCTTGAACCCAGGAGGTGGAGGTTGCAGTGAGCCGAGATTGTGCCACTGCACTCCAGCCTGGGTGACAGAGTGAGACTCTGTCTCAAAAAAGGAATAAGAATAATTGGAGTTTTATAGTACATGCTAATGCGCATGAATTACTTGAAATCAATTGAAATGAATTTTAGGTTTCATTTACTTGGTGTTAGGCTTAATTTTGAGTCACCCAGGGATGCTCTCAAGCAAAGCTGGCCTTGCCAAACATAATGGCCACCTCTTTTTTTTTTTTTGAGATGGAGTCTTGCTCTGTACCCCAGACTGGAGTGTAGTAGTGCGTGATCTGGGCTCAGTGCAAATCCCGCCTCCTGGGTGCAAACGATTCTCCTGCCTCAGCCTCCTGAGTAGCTGGGATTATAAGCACGTGACACCATGCCCGGTTCATTTTTGTATTTTTAGTAGAGATGGGGTTTCACCATGTTGGTCAGGCTAGTCTCAAATGCCTGACCTCGTGATCTGCCCACCTCAGCCTCCCAAAGTGCTGGGATTACGGGCATGAGCCACCACGCCTGGTCAGTGGCCCACCTTTTATACTTTTGGCCAGGTCTGCAGAGGTTTGGCAGCCCCTAAGCCCTCTGCTTCCACTTCCGGAGCGAGAGCCTCAAGTGCTCCTGTTTTCACAGCCCATCTTGTGTTTCCATGCTGCGCACGTGGGGCGTTTTCTCTTTCCTTCCTCAAGTCTGGCGCTGATTCTTTTCAGCATACATTCTAGCCTTGGAAAGAAGATGCCAATAAAACCAGCGTAGGGGAAGGGCGGCCAATGAGAGGCAGCGATGGATGTTAAATTTACAATTGTGGTTTGTGTTTTTGGCTGTGGTTCTTTAGATAACCATATGATTTCTGTTCTTCATGACTAAGAATTGAATTTAGACTTTACAGAGTTACTGGTTTGTAAATCTTTGAGTTGTTTACATTTTAACGTCAGAGTTTTACTGTTTGATCAGCACATTTTTTTTTCTCTTTTGTCTATAGGCCCGAAATGTTTGAGACGGCAATTAAGGAGAGCACCTCCTCTAAGAGCCCTCCCAGTGAGTGTATTTTCTGTATTTTCATTGCTATAGAACACACGCTCTTAGGTGTGCACCGTGCAGCTGTGGTTTACAAACATTGTTTAAAGAATAGCCATTGAGGCCGGGCGCGATGGCTCACACTCGTAATCCCAGCACTTTGGGAGGCCAAGGCGGGTGGATCACCTGAGGTCAGGAGTTCGAGACCAGCTTGGCCAACATGGCAAGACCCTGTCTCTACTAAAAATATAAAAAATTAGCCAGGCGTGGTGGCGGGTGCTTGTAATCCCCTCTACTCAGGAGGTTGAGGAGACAGCAGCATTGCTTGAAGTTGGAAGGCGGAAGTTGCAGTGAGCCGAGATCGTACCACTGCACTCCAGCCTGGGCAACAGAGCAAGACTCCATCTCAGGAAAAAAAGGAAAACGCATTCAAAGTTATAGTTTGGGCTATTTCACAGTTTTCAGTTCTTTAATAATTGGGTGGCTCTGTTTGTGTGTGATGTTCTCCTAAGCACCACCAGGAAGAGAAAACCAGTGAAAAGCAGCCCTTCAGGGGGCGTCATGTCTTCCTGAAATGATGTACCATGGAAAGAAAGAACCTTGAACAGGACTGAGATCAAACAGTCTCAGACAGCATGATTATTAGAGATGTTGACCGTGTTTTCTACGAATTCTGATTTTAAATTTGTATTTTCAGGAAAAATAAATTCATCACCCAACGTTAATACTACTGCCTCAGGTGTAGAAGACCTTAACATCATTCAGGTGACAATTCCAGGTATGATTTCTTTGCTTCCATCATCATTTGTGGGGGTCTCTTCAGGGCCTCTTGGACTCTCCCAGCTAGAGAGGTTTGCTCAGCCCCTCCAGGTACTCGGATACATTACACATTGCCTGGCGCTCCTCCCAGACCCCTGCAGCAGTTGCCTTCCAAATACACTTGCTCTCCAAACAGCTCCCACAAGTTTTGGCACTTGGCATGAGCTAAATCCTGTTAACCACCCAAATGGGTCTAGTCTGTTCCTTAAAAAGAGTCTGGCTTATGCCTGTAATCCCAGCACTTTGGGAGGCTGAGGCGGGAGGATCACTTGAGGTCAGGAGTTCAAAACCAGCCTGGCCAACATGGTGAAACCCTGTCTCTACTAAAAATACAAAAAAAATTAGCCAGGCGTGGTGGTGCGTGGCTGTAATCCCAGCTACTTGGGAGGCTGAGGCAGGAGAAATGCTTGAACTCAGGAGGCAGAGGTCGCAGTGAGCCAAGATGGCGCCACTGTACTCCAGCCTGGGTGACAGAGCGATACTCCGTCTGGGAAGTAAAAAAATCTATATAAAACAGCAGGTAAAGGTCTTTATAACAAGAATAAGTTTGTAATATTTTTAGCTAGGCATTATTTTAAACAATTTCAAATTTAATTGAGTTCAAAGTGCTCAAATACTTAAATCATTTAAAAATGGCAAATGCTTGAAAACATTACACAGAGCTCCTGTAAATTGGGATCAAAAGTGCATCATTGAGCAGCAGCTTGTACCTGTAGTCCCGGCTTCTTGGGAGACTAAGCCAGGAGGATCACTTGAGCCCAAGAGTTCGAGGCCAGTCTGGGCAACATCGTGAGATACCATCTCTTTACCAAAAAAAAAAAAAAAAAAAATACAGTATTTAAGTTTTGGATTTTCTCTGAACTGTTTTAGATGACGATAATGAAAGACTCTCGAAAGTTGAAAAAGCTAGACAGCTAAGAGAACAAGTGAATGACCTCTTTAGTCGGAAATTTGGTAAGTTTTGCATTTGCAAAGTACAGTTGCTGTAAGCAAAGAGCTTTGTTTTAATAAGATCTTTTCAGCAGATGATGGTTAGGTGGTTGTAATCCTCCTATAGAAAAGGAATTAAAATTTAAAAGTAAGTGTTTTGTTTATGCTAAATTTATTTAATAAGATACCATTAGTGTTACATTATCGATTGTCAGTACAAAAGTTCATGAATTTAAGGTTCACTGTCGGGCAGTGTGGCTCACGCCTGTAATCCCAGCATTTTGGGAGGCTGAGGCGGGTGGATTCATTGAGGCCAGGAGTTCGAGACCAACCTGGCCAACATGGTGAAACCCTGTCTCTACTAGAAAATACAAAAAATTAGCCGGGTATGGTGGCGCATGCCTGTAATCCCAGCTACTCAGAAGGCTGTGGCATGAGAACTGCTTGAACCTGGGAGGCAGAGATTGCAGTGAGCTGAGATCAAGCCATCGCACTCCAACCTGGGTGATAGAGTGAGACTCTGTCTCAAAAAAAAATTTTTTTTAAGGTTCATATTTAAATTTGTTTGAAGTGTACAAAGACCTTAGTTAACAGCAGAGACAGTCTTTAAAATAAATGTTGATCTGGTGCTTTTGACAGACTTTTTAAGGCAGTGGGTTCATCTGTGCTGTTGTGCTGTTTGTCTCACTGTCACTGTAGGTGAAGCCATTGGTATGGGTTTTCCTGTGAAAGTTCCCTACAGGAAAATCACAATTAACCCTGGCTGTGTGGTGGTTGATGGCATGCCCCCGGGGGTGTCCTTCAAAGCCCCCAGCTACCTGGAAATCAGCTCCATGAGAAGGATCTTAGATTCTGCCGAGTTTATCAAATTCACGGTCATTAGGTAAGTGAGAGTTTTCTGCTTAGTCACAGGAACGAGTCTGGAGCTCATGAGGCTGACTCATCTAAAACGCAGCCACAGGTAGTCATCGAATCAGGCTACCTATGCGAGGCAATGAACAAATAAAGATAACTTGTTTCATCGTTAGAATGTTAGATGTGCCTCTGCCTAAGCCGACTCTTAATTCTTTGGCAAAGGGTTGGCAAACTAGGACTGTTCACCAAATTCAGCCTGCCTCCTATTTTTGCCAAATTCAGCCTGCCTCCTATTTTTAGAGACTTCCTGAAACACAGCTACGCCCGTATTATCCATGGCTGCTTTCCTGTCACAGTGAGTAAATAGCTGGGACTGAGACGGCATGGCCTCCAAAGTCTAAAATATTTACTCTCTAGCACTTTATAGAAAAACCTTGGCCAGGCACAGTGGCTCACGCCTGTAATCCCAGCATTTTAGGAGGCCAAGGCAGGCAGATCACCTGAGGTCAGGAGTTCCAGACCAGCCTGGCCAACATGGTGAAATCCTGTCTGTACACAAATACAGCAGTTAGCTGGGCATGATGGTGCGTGCCTGTAGTCCCAGCTACTCGGGAGGCTGAGGCAGGAGAATCGCTTGAACCCAGGAGGTGGAGGTTGTAGTGAGCCGAGATTATGCCATTGCACTCCAGCCTGGGCGACAGAGTGAGACTCCATCTCAAGAAAGAAAGAAAAACTTTGCCAACCTCTGTCTTAGGGCGCCGTGTCACAGGCTTTGGCTCAGACGGATTCAACCTCACATCAACCATTTGTTAGCCTGGTCACTCTGTTCCTTGTCTGTAAATGAGAGTGACCATTGTTACCACGGAGTGTCAGCTCCCTCCCATAGAGCAGGCATGATGATTGTACTCATCCTCTAACACCATTTGAGCTCCACATTTCTTCCTGTGTCCTTGTTACCATAAGAGACGCCCACCTAGGCCGGGTGCGGAGGCTCACACCTGTAATCCCAGCACTTTGGGAGGCCGAGGCGCGCGAATCATGAGGTCAGGAGATTGAGACCATCCTGGCTAACACGGTGAAACCCTGTCTCTACTAAAAATACAAAAAATTAGCTGGGCATGGTGGTGCACGCCTATAGTCCCAGCTACTCGGGAGGCTGAGGCAGGAGAATGGCGTGAACCTGGGAGGCGGAACTTGCAGTGAGCCGAGATCGCGCCACTGCACTCCAGCCTGGGCGACAAAGCGAGACTCCGTCTCAAAAAAAAAAAAAGAGAGACACCCACCTGAGCACCAACCCCAGGTTATCTTCCTCTTTTTCTTCCAGCGCCCCAGAAACTTAGCTACAACTCAACCTACCCAATTAGTTCATCATCAAACTGCCACTGTCTCTAGTTCACATCTCTTAGGACTGGCACTCAGAAATCTCATAATAAATCCTCTTGAGGCTTCTTCTCATTCACTCGTCTTCTTCCAACCTTCTTTCCCTCAAAATCTCATATTTTTGTTCCGCTTCACCCACGGTCATTCTCCGTATCATTCCCAGGAGTTACGCAAAAAGCCCCTTGTGTTCTTCTGTGCATTGAACTTAGAATCACTCTGTTCCCTGCTCTGGCGTTTCTGTTTTTTCTTTTTCCTCCATTTACTGCATAACATTTTCTAACAGTGTTCTTATTATGGATACATATCTATCTCTTCCATAAGTTTATAAGATCGTGGATAATACTTCTCACTGTAGTACGTAAATGACATGGGCTAGATATGAGTTGAATAGACAGTTATACCTGTAAATTCTTATAGAGTGAAAATAAATTATTATACTTTACAATTTGTTTCTCTCTTTAGACCATTTCCAGGACTTGTGATTAATAACCGTGAGTATTTTGTGAAGCGTTTTTGTTTTTTCCCCGGGGTCTGACATGTGTGCGTGTGAGTGTGTATATGTGCTTAAAGTATATTACGTTCCTTCACCTACGTCAGCAGCCATGCCAGATACTTATTTTAGCCCTCGGTAAAAACACCAGGCACTTCCAAGTTGTAAAATTCTTCAAGCTTCTTAACTTTTCCTATCCTCGATGCACTTAATCATAAAATGGTAATAATAGCACTGATTCTGGGGGAGTCATTCCAGTAGATGGAAAGCATCTAGAACAAGTGTCAGCAAGCTCCCGCCGAGGTGTGTGCATAAAGTTTTATTGAAACCACCATCGTGTTCATTTGTTTATGGCACCATTGAGAGGTGGCAACAGCAAGTGTGTGCTTGCAAAACCTAAAATGCTTACTAATTGGCTCTGTAAGAAAAGAGTTTGCAGCCCCCTAACCTAGAACAGCGTCTAGCCTATAGTATGTGCTTAGCCTACGGTATGTGCTCAGCGAATACAATCTATATTTATTACTGCTTTTATGACTGTTATAATGACTGTGCTTGGATTTCGTGCCAAAGTAAGTCACTTAATGTGCCTGCTTCTATTACTGTTTCAGCACAGTGTCTGGCACACATTGGGCTTTCAGATATAGGCCGGGCGCGGTGGCTCAAGCCTGTAATCTCAGCACTTTGGGAGGCCGAGACGGGCGGATCACGAGGTCAGGAGATAGAGACCATCCTGGCGAACACGGTGAAACCCCGTCTCTACTAAAAAATACAAAAAACTAGCCGGGCGAGGTGGCGGGCGCCTGTAGTCCCAGCTACTCGGGAGGCTGAGGCAGGAGAATGGTGTAAACCCGGGAGGCGGGAGATCCGGCCACTGCACTCCAGCCTGGGCGACAGAGCCAGACTCCATCTCAAAAAAAAAAAAACAAAAACAAACAGATATTGCCGAGCGGGCGAACAAATGTCCTTTCAATTCCTTAACGTTGATGTCATTTTCAGTAGTATTTTGAGCCAAACTTAATTTTGCGAGTGTGTTTTTGTTCTCTTAACTTTATTATTAAATGTATAAAAGTGAGGCCAGGAGCGGTGGCTCACGCCTATAATCCCAGCAGTTTGGAGGCTGAGGCAGGCGGATCACTTGAGGTTGGGAGTTTGAGACCAGCCCGTCCAACATGGTGAAAACCTGTCTCTACTAAAAATACAAAAATCAGCTGGGCATGGTGGCAGACGCCTGTAATCCCAGCTACTTGGGAGGGGTGAGGCAGGAGAGTCGCTTGAATCCTGGAGGCGGAGATTGCAGTGAGCTGAGATCGTGCCATTGCACTCCAGCCTGGACAACAAGAGCAAAACTCTGTCTCAATAAATTATTTATTTACATAAATAATACATACATAAATAAAATGTTCTGTTTTGTTCCTGTTCTTGTGCGGTAGTGTGGAATAGAGTTTTATGGTAATTACTATGAATTAGTGATTCTGAGGACCATATCAGAACTCTGAGGTTTGTATCCTTCTCATCTTGAGCAAATGTATGTTAAAATGCTTGTCAAAGGGAACAACACGTCCTTACATTATTAAACCAATCTGCTTCATTTTCAGAGCTGGTTGATCAGAGTGAGTCAGAAGGCCCCGTGATACAAGGTGAGTGAGGCAGGGGAGGGCCGGGAGCTACTCCTGCGGCTCAGTCGCCTGCCCTGAGGGGACTCAGTTACACAGCGCACACATGCTGCTCTCTGGTTTTCACTCCTGGGTTTGACAGCTGATCAAAACATAAATTCAAGCTGTGGGTCCTGATTGAGAACGGGGGGCTGCAAACCATTTGCACCCTCTATCCCAGCTCAGGCCTAACATCAGGAACCCCAGGATTAATGGATAGGATGAAATGGCAGAGAAAGAGGGTCGTCATTTTAACCTGACTCTGTGCTGTCCGTTTCTAATGTCTGCCATAAGTGATTGAGCAAAATGTTCTTGAGTAGAAATGTACAGATTATGCTTTTAAAAAATTCCTTAAAACACAAGTGGAATGGCCCGGTGCTATGTGAGTCATTGAAAGTAATGAGGCTGGGTGCGGTGGCTCACGCCTGCCATCCCAGCACTTTGGGAGGCTGGGGCGGGTGGGTCACTTGAGATCAGGAGTTCGAGACCAGCCTGCCCAACATGGTAAAACCCTGTATCTACTAAAAATACAAAAATTAGCCGGGCGTGGTGGCGTGTGCCTGTCATCCCAGCTACTTGGGAGGCTAAGGCAGGAGAACGGCTTGAACCTGGGAGGTGTAGGTTGCATTGAGGCAAGATCACGCCACTGCACTCCAGCCTGGGCAACAAAGGGAGATCGTGTCTCAAAAAAGCAAACATATGAACAAAAACAAAAAAGTAATGAAAAGCTTTTATTAAAGGGAGTAAACAGAAGGATGAGGAAGAAAGCATAACTAAGGCACTTGTTGTTTTCCTGGTAGAGCTATGTTAAGACTGCTCTTTCAGACTTCAGCTGTATATGTGAACTTAGGACCGCATTTGAGAAACAGAAATTTGAAAGTACACTTGGATAATTGTGTGCTCCACCTCAAGACCGTGGGCATTGTTTCATCATGCGCCTGTGTTTGTACAGAGTCTGGAGGGCTTTTCTCCTCTTCCTCCTCCTGGGTTCTTTCATAGTATAAAGCAGCTGTTGAACGATGTGGAAATCAATCTCTGTGTTTCTCTTTAGAATCAGCTGAACCAAGCCAGTTGGAAGTTCCAGCCACAGAAGGTAAAAGGGTGGGGTGGTCCTGCAAGTCCTTAAGACTTCTTCTTTCTTCTTTTTCTTTCTTTTCTTTTCTTTTTTTTTTTTTTTTAAGACAGGGTCTCGCTCTGTCACCCAGGCTGGAGTGAGGTGGCGTGATCTCTGCAACCTCCACCTGCCAGGCTCAAGCAATTCTCCTGTCTCAGCCTCCCGAGTAGCTGGGATTACAGGCCTGCACCACTATGCTTGGCTAATTTCTGTATTTTTAGTAGAAACGGGGTTTCACCATGTTGGCCAGGCTAGTCTCGAACTCCTGACCTCAAGTGACCTGCCGGCCTTGGCTTCCCAAAGTGCTCGGATTACAGGCACGAGCCACCTCGCCCAGCCCAGACTTTTTACCAGGACAAAGGATTGTGTGTTTAAACTATTTCACTAGAACTGAGTGGTGGTTTCGCTCTCTTTCTTCTGGGTGAATTGGATTTGCAGGTTATGCTGTTGCGAGATGACGCATAGCTGCTTTTGCTCCATTTCCCCCAGATGACTTGGTAAATTCTCCGTGAATGACTCTGCTACATAACCTAGATAACATAATGTGTGTCCTTTAAATGCATAAAAGCCAGGAGATGTTTGTTACTTTGAAAACTTAAGTAACACAATTTTGAATGTGTTGCTAAAGAGACTTCTCTCTCTGAAGCTCTTTTGATGTTTGGTGTCTTGTCCTTCTTATTATTAAACCATATCTTAGTAAACAGTTTGGTACGAATGGATTTATCATTGAGCAGGTCTGCAAAATAATTAATCGGTACCATTTTGTTTCCATTGATAGAAATAAAAGAGACTGATGGAAGCTCTCAGATCAAGCAAGAACCAGACCCCACGTGGTAGACCTCTTCCCTCCTAGGGTAAATCAGCTTCTGTGTCAGGGATGCCGTGTGGTGTCCATCTGAACCCCCCTGCGTACGCGTAGCTAATGTGATCTCCCCATTTTCACATAAGATGGTGGCCCTGCCTTCAGGGAATGTGGGAGCCAGGTGGGAGCCTTCCTGGATGTTTAAGCTAGAAGACTGAACAGGGAGATTCTCCTTGGATCAATATATGTCTCTCAGTCAAAGATGTAAAAGCACTTTTGCCTTAAAAAGAATGTTGTTTCTAATCTATAGAGTAAACGTTGTCCTTCTCATTGGAATTCACTATGAGTCAGAATCATTAGACTGACTTTTTTTTTTTTCCGTAGTAATAGTATTTTGCAGAGTCTCACAGAGCTGCAGATCTATTGTTCATCTTGCAGAGTTGAGTTCACAAGTCTGATCCTGTTATTCCAGATTTCTTAAATTTGGCCAAGTTATAACAGGAGCAGTAGCTTGAGACCCGAAGTCAGGAAACTTTGACAATGGATTTTTTTTTTTTTTAAATCCAGAGACTTGTTGTACTGGAGTTTGCCTTACCCTGTCAGCTCATGGACTTAAGGTTTCGTCCCGCTTTATGAGCGCATCTGAATCCAAGTCACTGTCACCCGAATTTGCAAATTAAGTTGTGATATTCGTGACTGTTAAATTCCTGTAATTAGATTAACCTGTTTGCTTGCTTGTTTGTTTTCTCTCCTATTTTAGCTTAAAGTATCAGTGATTGAGAAGAGCTTTTCGGACGTGTTACTTCCCCAAGCTGTGTAATATACTTGTATAACAGAAATACCTTCTATACAAACCTTTTTTTCTACTTTTAGATAGAAATGTCTACTTTTTCAGCAGTTCTGTGAATTAAAGAGCAGAGTGACTGTGGGTCTGGAATGGCTGGTGTACTTGGGAATGCATTATCAGGAGTTTACAGCAATGCTGGGAAACGACAGGGAAAATGACAGGAATGAATCTCACCACATTTTTTATGTACTCAGCAGAGCCTTGAGTTACGGTGTTTATTTTCCAATCAAGTGAAGATATCTCCTACTGGAACATCTCAGCTTCTGCAGTGAAGACAAATTCCTGTGATAGTTCAGTTCTTTAGTTTTTCTATTTGGGAAAAAAAAAAAAAAAATCATTTAAATGATCTTTTGTTCACGGCTCTCCTTAATGACTGAGTGAACAGTTCCTATCTGTATATTTGACTAAACCTTTTCCTAAGCTATCTCTCATGGTTCCTATGTTTTTTTTTATCATAATTAAAAGCAAAACCATCTGGATCACCTAACAGTCAGAGGTCAGTATCTCAGCGTGTGAATTACAGAATAAATACAGAGAGAACCTCTTCCACTTTTACTTTTCGTCCAAATAAAATGCATGGTGTACCAGAAGTTGAAGATCGGGTTGAGGATTGGGGCTAGCTCGATGACACTAAGGCCCCGACATCGCGGGACCTGCTGTGGCGTGGATTCTTAGGAACGCGGTTCTAGCCGGCCCCCTCTCCAGGGGTCGCCGTGGCCGGCGTTACTTCCTAGTTCTTCTTGTAACCCTGAGGTGCCAGCACGGGGAGGGAGGAGGGATCAGGGGGCTGAGGATGCAACCTCTGACGTTCTGCGCCTTCCTAGGAGAGTCTTACATGTGTTGAGATTTCACAAGCAATGCGAGTTGTAAAATACCAGCTCTACAAGAAGCTAGGCTCTGTGACAGCATAGTTCTCAGTAGCTTTATCACAATATTCACAATGGAGAATTATATGACATGGTAGCAGAAATAGGCCCTTTTATGTGTTGCTTCTATTTTACCTCAAATTGTAGATATAGGGTAATCAATAAAATCCATCCATGCCTTTCACACACTAAGTCATTGCTCTCTCGGCTGTTTTCATGGTTCTGTCTGGGGAAGTTTGGGGGTGGCTCGGCGTAGGTGGGACGCAGACCGAGGCTGAGGCTGGCGCTGGGCAGGGCCCGCCGGGCCTCCCGGGGACAGTGCCACTTGCAGTGTTTCTCAGACCACTGTTGCCCATCTCTTCTGAGCTGGGCCAGGGCCCCCACCCACCCTTCTATCTGGGCCAGCCAGCTGTGGATGGAGAGCAGCTCACATACGATTTTGGGAGCCAAAAGCCCCTGCCATCGAGGGCTCATGCGGCAGCGCCTCCTGCCTGAACCCACACACTGGCTCTGAGGCTCCTCTTTTCTCAGCGTGGTCCCTGCCTCTGCCGTGCCCCATCCGCATGGGCCAGAAAGGGAAACTGATCTCACGATTCGCCTGCCTGCTAACCTGGGAGGAGACCGCTTCTCTAATAGCATCTCACAGTTCTTTGAACGTATCCTTAAAACGTGCCCTGCCGTGCCACCCTCAGCCACACCTCCCAGCACCAATCCTGGAGAATCAGGGCCATGGCAAGGCTGCTGTTGGCGAAAGCCCAGCTCTTCCATGAATCTCCATTCAGTTACTGGTTTCACATTCATTTGTGAGGTTACAGACTTGCCAAGGAGATTCATGATTCAATCCGTTACAACAATTCTGTGTGTACATAACACATTTTTTTTTCTTTTTCTTTTTCTTTTCTTTTTTTTTTTTTTTTTTTTGAGACAGTCTTACTCTGTTGTCCCCAGGCTGGAGCGCAGTGGTGCAATCTCAGCTCACTGCAACCTCCACCTCACAGGTTCAAGCAATTCTCTGCCTCGGCCTCCCGAATAGCTGAGGATGCAGGCACCCACCAACACACCTGGCTAAATTTTATATTTTTGGTAGAGATGGGGTTTCACCATGTTGGCCAGGCTGGTCTCAAGCTCCTGGTCTGAGGTATATACACGTATTTTTATTTTTTTATATATATATATACACGTATATATATACACGTATATATATATATATACACACACACACACACACACACAGATACACAAAGGATTTGATTTAAGCCGGGTACTGTGGTGTACAGCTGTAGTCCTAGCTACTAGGGAGGCTGAGGTGGGAGGATCACTTGAGCCACTGCAGTGATTACACCACTGCACCCCAGTCTGGGTGACAGTAAGACCCTGTCTCTTAAAAAGAAGAGCCCTTAGCTACCTGCATTAATGAATGAACAGGCAGTGCATTTCTGTGTGGTTTGGTGTGGTTTGGTTTGGTTTGAAAACCGTGTCTCACTCTGTTGCCCAGGCTGGAGTGCAGTGGCGCAATCTTGGCTCACTGTCACCTCCGCCTCCTGAGTTCGAGATTCTCCTGTCGCAGCCTCCCGAGTAACTGGGATTACAGCCACCCACCACCACATCCGGCTAATTTTTGTATTTTTAGTAGAGACGGGGTTTCGCTTTGTCGGCCAGGCTGGTCTCAAAGTCCTAACCTCAAGTGATCTGCCTGCCTCGGCCTCCCAAAGTGCTGGGATAACAGGCGTGAGCCACCGCGACCGACCTCAGGCAGTGCATTTCTAAAAGGCGGATAGTGTGATTCTTCAGAGGGTGAAGGGGAAGTTAAACTTGCCCAGTAAAATCTTCATTAGCCCAGTAGTCTGGATTGAAAAAGCAAAAGTAGGTGTCTTCAGTTGCATTTTGAAGTAGATTGGTCTCTGTATTTCTTTTATTTTCGAGACAGAGTTTCGCCCTTGTTGCCCATGCCGGAGTGCAATGGCACAGTCTCGGCTCACTGCAACCTCCACCTCCCAGTTCAAGTGATTCTCCTGCCTCAGCCTCCTGAGTAGCTGGGATTACAGGCATGTGCGACCACACCTGGCTAATTTTGTATTTTTAGTAGAGACAGGATTTCTCCATGTTGGTCAGGCTGGTCTTGAACTCCCGACCTCAGGTGATCTGCCCACCCTGGCCTCCCAAAGTGCTAGGATAACAGGCGTGAGCAAGTGTGCCCAGCCGTAGGCTGGTTTTTCTGAGCCTCCTCCAGGCCCCCATTTCTGCTTTTTTTTTTCTCTCCAAAGATCGAAAGTTCCACTGGCGAGGAAGATCGAGGGACCAGACCTTTCTAGTTTCCACATTATACTCCAAGCGCTGGTCTTAGTAAATTCAAGGCACCTGGTGGATTTAACCATTCGGGGGCAGATAATTGTCACACACCAAAGGGGCATCTTTTGGAAAGTCACTGCACAGCGACCACTTCCATCTTCTAGAAGGTCGCCGCTCATCTTCCTAAATGGAAGCCCCAGTTTCTGGACTTGGGTGTGTTTTGAGGATTTGATGTTCTCCCAAAGTGCTTCAGTTTCCCTATGATGGGGAAGAGGAAGGGGACAGATTTTAAGAATCCTGGAGGCCGCTGTCCCTGTCCTTAGACCTGCGAGTCCAGGGAGATGACCACAGACAGGGCTGTGGGTCCTTCGCTCTCAAAAGCATCACTTCCCCTGCCTGGAGTTCAGATCCTGCCTGGATTCGTGGTGGGAAGCGAGCTCTGGCTCTCTCTACTTCACCCACGGCTGCCCGCTCTCCTGGCTCACAGGCAGACACGATGCAGCTTGCAGCCGGTTATAGAAATCACAGGTTCTTAGGGGCCTGGTGGCCCATCAGTGACAAAGGGCAGGTGGACCTGGTGTGGCTGCACCAGAGGGGCTTTCTCGCCCTGGGAACTGGGCTAAAAACCAAGCCCAGACTGTGGCCCATGCTTTTGTCCCCCCAGCTGCCTCGAGGTCCCGCCCTGCCTGCCTCCAGCACCCCCACCCCACCTTAATTTTTTTTTTTTTTTTCCCCCAAGACGGAGTCTCGCTCTGTTGCCCAGGCTGGAGTGCAGTGGTGCAATCCTGGCCCCCTGCAACCTCTGCCTACCGGGTTCAAGCTATTCTCCTGCCTCAGCGTCCCGAGTAGCTGGGATTACAGGTGTCCACCACCACACCCAGCTAATTTTTGTATTTTTAGTAGAGACAGGTTTTCCCATGTTGGCCAGGCTGGTCTTGAACTCCTGACCTCAAGTCATCTGCCTGCCTTGACCTCCCAAAGTGCTGGGATTACGGGCGTGCGTGAACCACTGCGCCCAGCACCACGCCTTACTTTTGAGGAAGTGTTGGGAAAGCCGGCTCTGACATAGCTTGTGAGGCAAGCCCAGCTGGGGAAGGTGTTTCCTGCCTGACTTCCTCCCGAGAAGCAAGAGCGGGGCCTGCTGTGGCATCCACTTCCTGCGGGGACTCAAGGCTGCTCACGCCTCAGGCTACATAAAGCAGGAAGGACCCACGCAGGAGGACCCCTCCAGAGGTGTGAGGGCGACTTGGTGGACACAGGCAGGGCCAGCAAGAGAGCAGAGGGCCCACCTCCTAGAGCCCCAGATGTCACAGGCTGAGAAGGTCTAGCTACATCCAAAGGACCTGTTGAACTCCTGCCCCGACTGACTCAAACTGTCCCCTCCTGTACGGTGCCCACACCCTCCAGGGGAAACCCCTGGATAGACAGCAGTCCCTGCAGGTCTCCAGAAAGACAAGGCCGGAACAGGGAACCCGGGGTGCATGTTCATGAAGCTGTGGCAAGTGTGGACACCACAGCCCCAAGTTTCTTTTTCTGGCCTGCGGGAGATGAGCTTCGGTCCCACGGAGGTGACAAGGTTGTCCTCATGCATGATGGGGATCTGCGGTGCCTCTGCACCTGTGTAAGCCCTCAGTGAGTAAGCCGCGTCTACAGGTCCCGCCTGTCTGCGGGCGACCCGCCCCCAGCTCCAGGCCTGTGTGACTTAGCGACTGTCCCAGATCTCCCCAGGGAAGTCGGGCAGGGGCCTGGCCCTTGGCAAGTCCCAGAGGGAGCGCACCACCGCTGACTTCACTGCGCTTCTCGGGGCTGGGGAGATGTGGAAATGGCCACTCCAGACCCGGTGACTGGTTGGCTCTTAGGACATGATTTCCTCGTTACAGAAATTTGTTTCGAGTGTACAGAAATCACCATTGGCCAGGTGCGGTGGCTCACGCCTGTAATCCCAGCATTTTGGGAGGCCGAGGTGGGTGGATCACCTGAGGTCAGGAGTTTGAGACCAGCCTGGCCAACATGGAGAAACCCCGTCTCTACTAAAAATACAAAAATTAGCCAGGTGTGGTGGCGGGAGCCTGTAATCCCAGCTGCTCAGGAGGCTGAGGCAGGAGAATTGCTTGAACCCGGGAGGCGGGGGTTGCAGTGAATGGAGATTGCGCCATTGCACTCCAGCCTGGGCAACGGAGCAAGACTTTGTCTCAAAAAAAAAAAAAAAAAAAATTCACTGAAGCCCCCAGGCGTGGTGGTGCACTGCAGGGTTTAGCCTTCCTGGGTGGCAGAGGGCATCTGGGCCCCTGAGCACGGAAGTGGGGCTCCCGCGGGGGCGGGGCTTGAAGAGTCCCCATTCCTGTGGTGCATATTTGATGAGGGCCCATGTCGTGCCTGGAGCTGGGCCAGAAGCCACAGTGCATGGCCCAGCCTGTCCGTGGGCTTGGTTACTGTCAGCCTGGCCATGTCAGGGAAAGCTTCCAGGCCACCCACGCAGCTGCACCACACCCAGACCAGCTCTCCAAGGGACATCATGAGACTGCCCCCACTGTCAGAGCCCCGGGCCGGTGGTCCCAGCAACTTGGGGTGCCTGCTGTCCTTCGTGTGACATTTTCTTCATTCCAAGGTCAATTTAAACAGCAAGAAGCTGCCCTGCCTCCTATCTGGCAATTTCCCTGCCCTGCAGCTTGGAGGCAGCCCCTGCGCAGTTTGTATCTGGTGATGGCCAACGTTCGCCACCCTAGTACTTGACCCTATTTAATCCTCACGGCAGCTCATCAAGTGGGTAGATTGGTTAGTGCCATTTCACAGATGAAAAGACGGAGGCTCAGGAAGCTTCAGCCACGTGCACAGCTCAGCCATGGCCTGCACGTCTCCCCACACGGCCTGGGCCTCCGTCTGACTCCCCTGAGTTGAATGCC